TTTACTTGTTTAGTTGGAAATAAAGTATATTATACATAGTATATTAAAGTACAATATAGTATGTTATACTACAGGGCACATAGCACAAGTAGTTGAGGCAGATCTGGTCTCGGCAGGTCCGAGGGAGCTGCGAGCTGGACCACGGCGCAGTGGTGGATGGCCGCCGCTCGTCAGTACTGGAGGTTTTTGGTCCGTGTGTCGTTTGGCCCGACTGGACGGTACCGTGCTCCCAGATGGGCAGTTTTGAGCATCCCCATGAACCTCAACCTTGGGTCCCAACGCACGAGAAAGTAGACTCAGATGCAACATTCGATGATGTGATCCTTGGGCATGCGAAATTCGAAGTAGTGGCTTAAGAAAGCTTCCGGCAATTCGTGATTCATGTGTTGGTGCAGGGGCCGAGGCAAGTTCAAGCGAAGTCGGGCAGATCCGGGCACGTCGGTCTTGGTGAAACTACGGACCTACGCTTCCTAAACTGGTGCCCCTCCACAAAATCCCAGCACCATCGAGGCTCCTTCTTCAGCGAGGGCGGCTGGGAGCCGGGTGGTTGGCTACAGTCCGGAGGAGAGCCGTCCATCATGGTGATGCCTACTACTGGGCCTATTTTGTTCAAATGGTGATAAAATGTGGTGCTATGTGCTCCGTTTTGTCGGAGGCATCAACGCGGGCCTGATCCTCCTGCGGCCGTCTCACGACACCTTCGAACAGATGCTGAGCGAGGTGGCTTTCCTGCAAGAGTGCTTCTGGGTCCCGGATGGTCCTGGGATCTGTGTGTCGCTCTTGGCGAAGGTCACTTCCGAGCACCATCCTGCCCACATTGCCGGGAACGGCCCGGAGCAGGACTACCTGACCCGCTTCTTCGCGGCCCGGTCCTCTGTGTTTCCTGTCTGTGCCGCTCCGGCGCTCCCAGCCGCGAAGCCTCTGAGGCAGACCTTCAGCAGCCTTGGCGACACATCGACGTGTCCTACAACTTTCAGCTGCACCACATTCCCTTTGCCTTGGAGCAGGCGGGCTGTGCGACTCCGGGCTACATCTGGCAAGAGGTGTCTGGGATGTGTGTCGATGTGCCAGGTAGTGCGCCACCGAAATAGGCTTGAATGGCTTGGCGAGTCCGACTGCGAAGAATCAGACTGGATGCCCCGTCGACTCAAAATCGGCGCGGAGGTCTGTGCATGCTGTGAATGGTTGTCGGTGTCATGTAGTGCTGGGTGAACAGCCGCCTTACATGCATGCGCCGAACTAACAGGACATCAAGCTGGTACACTTCAGCGGCGAGTTGAAGTACTGGCACATGATGCGTCGCAGTTGCATGCGCGGGGCGGCGGGGGGTCAGGTTATGAAGAAGATGCCTTGATCTAAGGCTCTGCGACGAAAAAGATATGGAGTTCAGCATAGAGAGGCCAGTGCTCCGCAAGACTCCCAAGCATGTTTGAGCCCCGTCTCCCGCGTCCTGTGCCCGAATTGTGTCCGTCCGAGATTTGCGGAGAAGATGTTGGCTGAATTCGCATCCTATGGAGCCTGGGTGACTGGAGAAGACGACATTGCAGAGTACGGAGCTCATCGCTGTGACGGTCGTATCTTTCTGGAGGGCAATCCTACGAAGGACATCACGGACTTGGTGCAGAGACACTTGGCTTCTACATTTTTCTACCGTTGCCACGTACAAAAAAACAAGCATCCATCGCTCCCCTGCCGAGGTGCTTTCCAGCACGCTCGGGAGATTTGCACGGCCTCGTGTTCCATTTGGCACAGCTGTGCCCTCCGGCTCCTGGACCGCCAGCCAGGTGCGTGTGCGATGCCCCACTCTCTATGGCTCTCTCCCTCTCTTTCTAGTAGTGCGCTCTTGCAGGCTTGCTCCGGGAGCTGGAGTTTCCCCGCGTCCCGGAGGGCTGCGCGCCGCCCGGCGCAGCGGTGCACGTGATGTGGCCTGACAACGGTGCAGGCCGAGCCCTTCTTTTGAAACTGATCCTGACCCCTCGAGTATCCTCAGTTCGGAGGCTCTTGGTGGCACCCTGCCCGTGTAATGGCTGTGCACGCCGACGGGAGCTACACGGCCAGACGCCCAAACGGGATGCTTTGTTGAGACCTCCCCCCCCCCCCCCCCTGACCCCCACTTCTGGCCGAGGTACACTACCATGCACAAGACAAGGGCTGGTCTTCCTGCATGGAGCGAAATGTCGATGCTGCTCGTGTCTGGTGGGAGCGTGAGAGCTCCGAGAATTGACAGCAGATCTTGCCCTCTGCAATATCTTCTCGAATAAGAGCCTGCGGCGAAGAGCGCCGGGTTTGGGCTAGTGCCTCAGATCTCAGAGTCTGACGGGTCTGCAGTCGCTTGCCACGACTGCAGAACACGGCACGAAGTGTTTAATCGTGGTCGGAGTGCCGTCGCTGCGCCCGTGCCAGCTGTGCTTTCACGCTTTCTGTTGCTTTGTTGCAAGGTTGACGTTTCAGTTTACGTTCGGAAAATACGGGGGCCCGACAGCAAACCGACTCATCCAGTTGCAACCTGCCTGCACTTGGAGGGACGGAAGGGCATCAAAGCTGATTTACTATCCTGGCGGTCGGAGTGCTGAAGTGCAGTGCGGCTGGGAATGATTGTTCCATATCTGCGTCTCGGTGGTGGTGCTGCCGGGTTTCAGTTTTCACCACCCATCGAGGTTGCTGATGAAAAAGAGCCCGCACAAACAACAGCTGCCGCTAGAAGCACGCTGTCTTCAGCTTAGCTTTTCCAGCTTTCACTCCTTGAAGTGGTTTCAAGCGGAGAAGCCCGGGCTGATCAGTAGAACAGTAGCTGAGTGAGTGATCTGCCTGAAGAGAATCATGAAAGCGGTAAGACAACAAATCTGCAGATGATCTGCATGTGTTGCATGCAATGGTGCTGCACTCCAAGTGAAGCACGGGCCCCGGGTCATCTCGCCAGATGCCAGCATCCACACGCAAGAGCCTGGGCTTGCGAAGAAGAGCATGACTCGCAAAGTTTGGAAAGTCTCGGATGCCGAGATTGTTAGGGCACCTTTCACGTTTGCCGCATCCGCTAAGGCTTCGGCTGCTGGTAGCCGGATGCGACAATGGGCTGAAGATGCAACAATGCCACAGGCCCTGCACCGTCGGCCGATCCATCCTTGCTAGGAGTTCCCGCAAAGAGTCGAGAAAAGAGCAGCTAGGTCCTACAGTAGGTTTTGTCTTGATGAATGCAGAGCCTTTCATGCACAGCGGCAGCCAAGGTCTGGGGTTGGCACATGCTGGCCCTGACTTAGAGTTTGGAGCCGAGGCTGGGCATTTGCAGTTGTCATCTCTTATCGAACATTCTGGGGTGCATGTGTCCATTTGGCGAAGAGGTCTTGTCAGATGTGGGATTCCTACAACACGGCTGAAGAAGGAGACACACAGGGTGTAGAACGCACAGCCGGATCGTGCATGCCAGATCCCCATGGACAAAAAACACAGCCACTGGCGACCGGATGCTAGCAAGAGACACTCATGGCCCAATGCAGCGCGAGCACTTCTTTGGAAAACCGGCTAGGGGCGGGGGATTGCAACGGACTTGGCCGCGAGTGTAGAAGGGCTCTTGACCGACGCACGTTGTCCACGAGAGGTTACCGAAGGAGGGGAAGCGATTGCACACCGCTGCAGCCGATCCCTCAGCTGCAGCTGACAAGCTCGAATCGCATGCTGCTAGTTATATTCGTAGTCTCTGCTCTGGCAGCTCAGCAAATTGGGAAGCGCATTTGGTATTGGGATGTCTCCAGACCAGTAGACCTAAGAACCCCTTCAGGATCGCGGCTATGTCTTGTAAAGAATCATCAGATCTGAAGAGCAAGTGCCGCAGCCTCTGGGCTTCATCTTCAGCCTACGTTTGCCAAATGTTGAATCCATGCGGTCAGTGGTGGTCTTCCATGTCATATGGGGCCTCGCTGTGGCCATCAGGGACTCCGACATGCGGTTGGATACGGAGAATCTAGTGCACAGTGACGCGAACGACGAGTGTGAGGAGAAGCTTCGAAAGGCTATAGATGAGAATGCCAAGCTGGTGGCGGAAAGCACCAGTCTCAGGAACACGATGGAGGACGTGAAAGAGTTGAACGTGAAAGTGGACAAGCTGAAGGGCCAGCTCATCCCCACAGCGCAGAACTCTTCGAATGCTTCTGCCACGGAAGATGGTGACTTCGGTATGGGATGCTGTTGTCGAGTGGGGAGGTGCCACCGAGACGAAGAGGGTGTCGATGGCACACGGGCGGTGGAGGTTCCAGTAGATCGCTGCTGCAAGCAGCAGTTTCTGAGTGCGCAGCGCTGCCCATCCGGTTGGGAGAATGCCTCGGCTGCGGACTGCACCAGCGCCGAGATGGAGATGCTGGAACGCTTCAACCGGAGAGCCGTGCCCAGCGAGAGCCATCCGCAGTCAGCATGCCAGCGTGAATTGCTGGCAGTCTGGGGCGGCATCCAGAAATGGACCGAAAACCTTTCGCTTCACGGGCATTGGATCCACAGCATCCATAGCCGTCATCTCAGTGAGACCATCCAGGCGCGCCTCTTTGTCACCGGCTTCCCCTTCGAGGACGGGGCAGTGGGTGCCAGACTCTTTGGAATGGCTGCGGGCACCAAGCTGCTCATGTCTGGGATGAAGTTGGACTCAGACGCTTACAAGACATGGAAGAGCAAAGAGCATGCAGGCAGCGTGGTTTCTTACTGGTTGGCCCTCGCTTTTTTTTTGAAGGGTCGGGTTCTTGTTGAGAAGTCGTCAGTCGTACTTGCTGAGGCGAACTGAACCGAGATACCGTCCTTGGAGGCATCCTTCTGGAGCGGCTAAATGGCAGCGAGTTTGGAAGCTGCGATCTCGCCACCATGCAGACCTTTTGGCAGACCGCTTCGACCAGCTTCCTGAACGTCAACAACACCAAGCCGCTCCTGGTTGCCTTGCGCATCTCACGCCCTCTATGTGCGGTCACTGCAGTCTGAGGACACCCTGTTCTGGAAGGACGAGGTCCCGGGCATCTCGCGCAGTCCACCACGTGGCAGTGTCCGCCTCGTGACTTTCCAGACTGGGTGTCTGGAGCTGGTGTCACACGGCCAAAGCATGGCAAGTTGTGTTTTTTTGCGGGGATCCCGGAAGTAGATACACATTCACTTGCTTTGCCGCAAGCCTTTCCCAGGGAGAAGCTCTCCTCTCAGATCGCTGAGCAGCTGCAAAGTTTCCGAGCTGGCCGGCTTCGCTGGGAAGAGGAGGTCACCAGCCTTACCTGTCAGACTGCCGGTAGAGACCCGACGGAGGAACAGAGGTATCTGCCCCCGTTCTGGGGAGTGGAGAAGCTGCGCGAGCATGGCTACAAAACCCGAAACCTCCGTGCCCTGGGCTACTCGGCAAAACAGATCTGGGACGTTGGGTACAACGCGTCCGAGCTTCGACAGGCCGGTTTCATGCCAGTGGACTTGAAGGGCATGTACGATTGCGAGGAGCTTCGAGTGGCTGGATACAGCCCCAAAGACCTCCTCCCGGCTGGATTCTCCGTGCAGGACCTGAGGATTGTGAACTACAGCGCCAGGGAGATGAAGAGTGACGAGATCTTGGCCAAGGACTTGAGGAACGGGGGCTACAAGGCCGGGGAGCTCAAGGTTGGCGGCTACACCCTTGCGGAGATGATCCAAGCCGACTTCGATGTTGAGGAGCTGAAAAGCATCGGTTACGCGGCCAGGGATTTCAACTTGGCCGGAGCCAACTTTACCCTGGTGAGCAAAGCGTCGCTTGGCCTCAGATTAGTGAGTGTTCTGGAGGGCCGTGTCCGTGTCCGTGCCGTTTAGTGGAGAGGTGTTTCGAAGTTCAGGTGGGCGTTTCAGAAAATTTGGGTACCTGATTATGGGGTCCTTAGAAAAAAGGGATCCTATGATCCTATGATTTGGGGCTTTAGGGTACTATATTAGGGTCCCCTATTTCCGGAAACCCCCAGGTTCACCGGCAAGGAGCTGAAGGATGCTGGCTACAGGTGCCTCGATCTGCACACGCTCCCCATGGAGAAGAAGACGCAAGAGCTGAAGGGGAATCGGAATGGTCGTTTCCAGAATGGTGAGGAAGACATCAGATGCGACTATCTGGAGGTCCTAAACTGCACACTTGAGGACCACCAGAAGGCGAACAACTCCATCCATTGCCTCCTTTCTCATCTCCACAAGGACCCCAAGACGGTGGTGGGCCAAAAATTTCCGGCAAGCTACTTGTGCAGCGATCAGGGTAAAGCTCTCCACAAGCACGGCATCACAGCTTCGATGCTCCGGGAGGCTGACTACAAGGCGAGTGAGCTTCTTCGCGGCGGCTGTCAGGTAAAGGATCTGATGAACGCTTACACCTGCACAGAGATAGTGAAAGCAAACTTCTCGGTGCCACTCGAGACCTTGAAGAAGCTAGGTTGCAACGCGACGGAGTTGCTCGAAGCAGGTGTAAGTCCTAAGAAGATGTTTGATGCCAAATTCCGGGCGCAAGACTTGGTGGAAGCGAGGGCAGTCTACCGCAAAGACGTCCGGCCGTTGAAAGATGCCGGTTTCGATGCGAAGAGCTTACACCAAGCTGGAGTGCCCACCAGAACTTTGAAGTCTGCCGATTTCAGTGCGATGACCTTGTTTGATGCAGGCGTGCCCCCTGCGCAGTTGAAGGATGCCGGTTTCGATATGAAGGCCTTGCTCACGTCGTTATACAACGACAGAAAGTTCACCAAGCAGGAGGCGCTCGCCAAGCACTTCGCATGTGCCGATGTGAAATCGTACTACTATCTCGTTTCATGTTGACATGTATGTTTCAATCCCAGCCTGACGACATCCTCGGCCGCGCGTTCAAAATCAGATGCTGCATGGTGGACGAGAGGTGAAGATTTCAGGAACTCTTTGTCCCTCCTGCGACTCCGGCGTGTGGCTCTCCTTTTTGAACTTCCCTGTCTCGTGAGAAGTGCGTGGCAGACCTGTTGCTCTTCCTTATTCTCTGGTTTGTTCGGGATATGGTGGCAAATGTTGAAACGGTATGTGCAGTTTGCACCAGTAGCACCAATCCAGCGGATTCGGCTGTGTTGGCTCCGGCTGACACATGAGGAACCTTGCAACACCAAGGCGACGAACATAGAGTGGCATGAGCGCAAAAACCGGGAATCCTAAACATTCGACGGAATCAAACAAAGACCTCTGCAAACTCTGTCGGGCCCTGCCGTTTCCGAGGCCGCTGCAAGGGCGCCAAGAGCCACTGCAGCTGCCCTGGTGCGGGGAGTTGCAGGCTTTCTCGGGCTCAGCTCCGGGGTTCGGGGAATCTCCGAGGAGCAGGGGTTTGAACGATAAGCTTCTCAGTGGTCTAAGCGCATCTAGTGAAAAACAAGTCTGAATGACGTCAACATGTGAACATTTCAGAAGGCCTCGAATACTGGAACTTTTGTCCCTGCTGCTACCGAAATCAGCTACGAGTCCGAGAGCGACTAAGACTCGTGCTCGAACTTTCATACGGTGTTGGGTTGACAGGACCAGCTAGGATGATGAGGGCTTCGGGCAAATGAAGCTTGATAGCAAGTAACAGAGATGGAAACTTTTGCCCTTACTCCCCACGTTAATACAGTGATGAACCCCATGGGATAGAGGCCAGGGCTGCAATCAATTTGAGCAACCTGTGCATTTCTTGCTCGGGAGCCTTGCAGAGAGTCATGCTTCACGACAGTTCTGGTTGGTACAAAGTCGCTGAGAGCCTCGGATGCTGAGCACGAACACTTTGGACCAGACAACGCCATGTCCACGCCAGCCATGGGCCCGCTAAGACCTGGCTGCGGAGGCGTGTGGCCCGCATCGGCATCCTTCAGATGAGGCGGGAAAAACAGAGCACAGCGGAGAGATGTGCCGCATGAGAGATGGGAGGATGTCGAATGTAGCTTCCCGATTGCTCAGGGGGCGCCCCGAAGCCGTGACCACACTCAGCTGGGCCTCGGCTGTTTGGAAAGTGCGGCGCATGTGCTTTTGCAGCACTGCCCTGCTTTCGCCGCGACAATCGGGCCGGCCAAAGGCATGTGGCACCAAACGTTGTCTCTCGGCACATCATATTTTGGCCCTGGGCCCTTGCGCAAGGTGCAGAGAGACCTCTGCAGCCGCCGCAGCGAAGGAAGCTCTCGAAGCTTTGAGATGTTTGGCCCGCAAGCGATAGAAGAACCAGGACTGCCTCGGTCGCCGAGAGTGTGTTGATCATGTTGCTGAGAGCCCACTTCTTGGGCCAGGACACTCGCATGCAGATTGATGTGCTCATACAGTCGTCGACATTTGCATCGCCCAGCGCACAGGAATTGGTGGATTTGGCATAGGCAGCATGGTTCATGGTTTGTGATGCTGTGGCATGCACGGCTGCTGACCCGCATTGCCCTGCTCCACAGGCACGTGCCGTTTTGGAGATTCGCAGTGAGCTCCCTTCAAGAATGACTGCGACGGCTGCTGCTTCCCTCGATGCGCTCGGCGTGAAGGACCTGGCAGCTGCGGCCCGGGGATTTGCCAAGGTGGTCTCCACGGAGCGGCTGTCTTTCGAGGAGGTCAAGGCGACACAGCAACTGTAACTACAAACTCCAGGACAAACCTAATTAGGCCAACATGTCGGGTCGGGGAGTTAGTTCGCACCGAACGTGCACCAGTGTCAGGCACGTGCCGGCGTGATTGAGAAGGAGGCGCATGCAAAGGATATCTCAAACATTGGCCGGGAATGTGGAAAGGTCGTACAAAGCGAGGCATCCTTGTCAGAGGCACTTGCTCGTGCGGCCAAGCCTCAGCTTTCCCGGTCCAACCCGCAGGGTCTCTCCACCCTGTCTTGAACTTCTGCTTCTCCACGGCCTTGCTCTACGCCCGCACCAAGCGCAACAGCCTCTGCCGCCTCGTCGCGGCTCTTGGAGTTTACCCTGCAAGGCCCTGCCAACTTGGCTTGGAGACTTGGGCGCTCAGACAGCACGTGGGGATCCCCTTCGGAAGACACTGCCGGCACCGCGACCCCTTCTCTTCACAGTGGGGCCTCGCAGGCAACCTCCAACTTGGCCTGGAGCCGCGGGAGCCACGGCGTGGTGCGCGAGGTGCCGCTGCAGGCCGCTTCGTCGCTCGGCGACTTCCAGGAGCTCAAAGCCCAGCATCCGGCCAACGCTGCACAGAACCTCGGGCAGCTTCAAGCCATCAGCGAACCTTCCACGGCCGCCACCGGAGCGGAGGCGACATGCCGAACGGGCGGACCCAAGCTGCAGGAGCTCGCGGCTGCGGCGTGGAACCTTGGGGCCACGAAGTGCCGCGGCGACCCATCGCCGTCAGCTACAGCCGACGCCCGGAGCTCGGAACATCTCGGAACTCCTGGCAGAACTGGGTGAAACTCGTGTTCGGACAAGCTGCCTTTCGCTCCGAGGCCGGGCTGCGAGCCGAGGAGCCTCGGAAAGCCCAGGAGGCGTCGAACCTGCTGCGAGATCCCGGTACAGCTCAGGCCAGGCGCCCTCGCCCTCGTCGTCGTATGTGGTCGTCGTCCGAGTCCGAAACTCTTTCAAAACACTCGTGTGCCGCATGAGGCCGTGCAGACACCCGTCTCGAATGTTCTCATGGAGGCGGCCTGTCTGACAACCGAGCTCTCAGCACAGGGCCTTGCGAACGCAGCGCAATCCACGGGCACTCCGGCATCAGAGCATGACCCAGCGACGAGGGTAGCAGGAGCCAGAGCCGTGGAAGAGATCAGCGAGCTTTCCTTGCAGGGGCTGTCCAACAGTGCGCGGTTTCTTGGCTTTGAATGTCTGAGCATCCTAAGATATCCTAAATCAAAGTTGGTGTCTGGTCCATGCAGCCAACCCAGGACTCCTGGAACTGCAGCAGCCTTTGATATGCGGTTGCCGGAAGCTGCCGCAACTCGTTTTCGCAGCTTGCCTGCCCGCGACTGGGATCCTGGTGCTCGAGAGAGGCAGGGACGGACTTCGGTTTTTTTTGAGGCAGCATCGGTGGGTTTGCCCTGACCGGAGCACGCGGCTGCAGCCTGCCGCGCAGGCACGACCAGCTACTCGGTCTCGTTTCTGCATTGGCTCTCTCCACGCAAGGCGCGCAGACCGCGTCCTTGTCTCTGTCGGAAGCGCCCTTTTTTCCCCAGTTTTTGCGTGGCAGGTGCCGAGGAGCTCCCTCCCTTGGTGGAGGTCGCCACTCGCACTGAGGAGCTTCTGAGTCGGCGTGCCCAGGAGATGGATGCCAAAGATTCACCAGCGACGTCGCCGGACTTAGACGATTTCAGGCCCAGAGCCGGCGAGAGGCCCGGCAACCGCCCCTGCATCCTGCTGGAGGGACGGGAAGCATGCGTCTTGTGGAAGCCGCCTGGCTGGACGGTGTCCGTGGGAAGCTTCGATGAAGACGAGGAGGAGAGAGCCTGGCGAAGCGGCGGAAAGGCAGGCAAACTGCTGCAGGCCTGGGTGATGGACAACCTGGGACCTCACTGGCCCATTGCCCGCGATGAGAAAGCCGAGTTTGGCTTGGTGCACCGCCTGGATCGGGACACGTCGGGCCCCATACTCTGCGCAAAAACCTACCGGGGATTTCATGGTCTTCAACTTTGCCTTGTTCGTTTCCAGCTGCGCAAGGACTATGTTTGCCTCTGCGAAGGCTTTCTGTCAGCGCCGCGCCTGCTAGATGCGAAACTCCGCGTCGAGGGCTCGGGGAGATCCCTCCGCAGCGTCGTTGCGCCGAGGGGCCGCGGGCAGCGCGCCGTCCTGGAAATCCTGCAGGCCTCGCATTTTTTGACCGAAAACTCTGAAGCCGTGAGCCTGGTACGGATCCGCTTGCGCACTGGTCGAATGCACCAAATCCGCGCACAGCTGAGCAGCCTCGGTCACCCCCTGCTGGGAGATGTCCTCTACGGAACACCCCGTGCTTGGCTGCCCCGGATCTTCTTGCATGCCGCGTCTGTCGGCATCAGTGTACATGGGTTGCACGGCGAGCCCTTTCAAGTGGACTGCGTGCTTCCACCGGACCTGCAGCAAGCGCTGGTGCGCTGTGTACCACTGGACAGCTCCTCTCGGGCATGTCGCGAGAGCTGGCTGAGCGGTGAAATAGACTATAGACAGCATTGAATCTAGAGAGTCTAGAGAGAATGCTGTGCTCTCCCAATATCCGTCCATTCTCCCACGTGACCTCAGGCTGGAGCTGCCAGAGCCGCAAGGGCCGCAAGCCGTCTTCTCAAGAGGCGTTTCTGCCCGAAGCCTACAGGTTCGAGTCAGATCGAGAAGTACTGTTCAGCGATCCCTTCTGGGCGTCGTTCTCGCAGCGTCTCTGGGGTCCCAACGGGTCCCTGCTTAAGAAGCCGACCCACATCTTGTTTGGGCTTTTTAAGCCTTTCACAGTACGCGGAGTGCAGAAATGTCCAAGTTGCTCGTACCGTGAAAGTGCGCAGCAGGTGAACGATAGTCTCCTGTCACTGTCGACACACGGTGTTGCTTGAAGCTGAAATCTCGCACCCTGAGCCGGCAGACCCGTGCTTCAGGACCGGGCGGAGCGGAGCCGCATCTTCGAGGCAAGGGTTTTCCAGGATTTAGGCGGTTTCGGGTCTTCTCTGCCGGGGAGCCTTTGGTCCTGCAGCATCACCCAGACAAGACCGGGCAGAGCAATGCAACCGTCACGAGCTCGGTGGATTCACATGATTCTGACTGCAGCTCTTCTGCAGGTGCGCTACTTGATGGCCAATCGCGATTCATTCCTGGCCACGGGACGCATGCGAAGGCCAGAGGAGCTCAACTTGCATGCCTGCTTTCTTCCGGGGCTTTGCTTGCACTCTGTACGCGATTGCAGGCCGCAGACTGAGATGTGCCTGGCCGATCCGACCTGTGCAATGACACTGGTCCGTGGATGCCTCCTTGTGCTCATCGGGGCTTCCGTCGAACAACTTCGCCAGTACTGTGCCCGTGATGGCATTCCTTCCTGCACACAGATAACACACCTTTACCAGCAAGTTGCGAAGGGCATGGCGACCATGTTGGTGTTGACATTGACGGTTTGCATTCATGATCCCGTCGAGCCACACGGCACTCTGTCCTTGGCCATGTTGTGGAATGAGGCAAGTTGAAATCTTTTGCAATTCGCTATTGGCCCGGCTGTGCATGACTGGCGAGAGTATTGTCGCACATGGTCCGACGAACCATTGCGTGTACAGTGTTTTCAGACTTGAGGTGGTGAAGGTAATAGAAGCAAAGGATTCCTAGTGTTACGTCACCTAGCACAATGCGCTGTGAAGCTGGCTCGGCTCAAGATGCTGGAGGAACCAACCAACGCAGACAATTCAACACTGACTCCGTCGTACTTGCTCTGGATGTTCCTTGATTTCCACCTGAAGCAGAGAAGCAGATCGCAAAGACGCCCTGGTAGTCAGCTCCAGAACTTATACAACTTTTTCCCGCTCGAACCAGCTCTATACCCCGCTCACAACTTCTAAAGCAAGGTCAGGCCAGGAGACCAAAGCCAATCCGAGCGTGGCGATGCAAAACAGCACATCGGTCGATGAGGCTTACGGGAGAGAACTCGGGAAGTGTTCAGGCAGCTGCGACGGCCCTGCAGGCCCTTTGCCGCAAGGCACGCCTGGAGATTCCGGGCTTCGTGGAGAAACTCTTGCCCCAGGTGGTAGAACTGGTGTCTGGACCTGAGTCGGGTATCCAATGCCGGCGTTTTCTCAACATGTTGCAACCTGCTCAGGCGCTTTTCCAAGCTACTTCCGCAGGGCGAGGAGCATGCCATTCGAAGGCCTTCAATATAGAGCACTGCGTGTGTTTTTTCGGGCACGGAGGCGCCGAATACTTCGCGGGGTCAAAACTCGATTTCAGCGCCGCAGGGGCTCCCGGGATTTCTTGGCCTCCTCCCGGGAACTTGGGGAGCGCTCCATGGGAACCGTGCACGCCTCGGCAAGAGCAGCCGCATTCCGATTTCGGGCTGAGGGCTCATGAGCTAAACGTTGGGGATGTTATGTAGAATGCGCGGGAGATGTTCTGCAGCACTAACTAGGACCTAGGATGGACAACCGAAAGCAATGTACTAGTGTTAGGGACCAGCATGCGCGGAGTCTGTCGAGGCAAGAGGTGTTGCAAAATGCCTCTTGCACCCGAGGCTCACCAGATCTTCAGCTTCCTGGCACAGTCGTTGCATCAGGGCACCAAGCCTGAGGACGGTGTCTTCGACTGCTCTCGAGCCGGCTTGCAGTGGGCCGTGGCTCACATCAACCTTGCTTGGAACTTCTGCAGTGTAGACGGACCCTGTCTGCCTGCCATGTTGTGGCTCTTGTTTCAGCATCGCTCGCCAACATTGTTCATATCACACTACATCTGTGGCACGTTGCAATCGCAAAGTTTTTGGAACCCACCGGGTGCATCTGCACACACAACGCAATGATGTGTGCAGCTCCTTCGAAGGGTCTGCAGGCCGGCGCCAATGACTCGAAGCGACATCAAGCTTCACGCTCCCTCCTGCATCGCAGGCGATGCGGCGGGGGCTCCGGTTCTTCTCCAGCAGAGGCCCACTGGCAGGCGAGAAGCCGAGAAGCCGACAACGACGAAACGTGAGCACACCATGGAAGTTCCACCCGTTTTTGTTCAGGAGTGCGAGTGCTGGACATGACGCGGGTGCTCGCAGGACGTCTTCAAAGGCCCCCGGTGCTTAGAGGTCATCGCTACCATCTGTGTTGCGAGGACCCTCCTGCACCCAAGTGCTGGGAGACTTGGGTGCTGAAGTGACGAAGGTGGAGCGGCCGCAGGTGGGAGACGACACCCGCGGCTTCGCGCCACCCTTCCTCCCCGGGGCGGCACAGGACATCATCTTGTGCAGCCTCGAGTTCACGGCCTAAGTCTACGTATGGTGTGGGTTAGAGGCAGAGGGGTTGGCGGGATGATGCTCGAGTCTGGTGTCTCAGGAGACAAAGGCCATGGCTGCGTATTTCGCAGCACAGAACCGCAACAAGGCCTCATTGACGGTAAACTACACCCTGCCAGAGGGACAGGACTGCTGCCTGCTTCGGCGTGAGTTCCACAGCGCACTTGCGTTGCTGCGGGGTCTGTTCCCTTGCGAGGACATCCTGCGGCGTCTCTTGAAGACCAGTGATGTGTTGGTGGAGAACTTCAAGACGGGGACTTTGGAGAAGTATGGCCTTGGCGCCTGGGCCAAGTTCCTGTTCCTGTGTGCCAGGGAAGATGCCGGGGCGTGTGTATGTGTGTGTGTGTGTGTGGACGCTGTTGTGCGAGGCTATGATGATCTGAGATGCAGCTTCCCATCCCTGGTCTACTGCTCCATCACAGGCTTCGGACAAACGGGGCCCTACAGCCCTGGGCCCGAGTCCACCGCCACTGCGCTGGCGTTGCTGCCGCGTTGCCTTAGGCCCACGGCCGGGATACGATGCTCTTGTCCAGGCGTTCTTTGAGGGAGGTGGGCCGGTGCGCCGGTGCATGTGCTAAGTTTTGAGTTTTCAGAGGCGATGGGCGGTTTCATGAGCGTGACCGGCGAGGTGGAGGGAGAGCCGATGAAGGTGGGAGTTCCCATCCATGACCTCTTTGCTGGCTTGCATGGCGCACCCAGGCTGCAGGAACTGGTTCGCTCTCGATATCTCTCAGTCTGCAATGAAACAGGCCGCACATGATATGCTTGGGGTCTGCTGCACAAGGTAATCGGCATTCTGGCCGCCCTTCGCCACGCCGCCATCACTGGGGAAGGGCAGCATGTGGACGCTTGGCCGCTACACTGATTGACCACCTCGCCCTTCCCTGCTTTCGCGCGGCGTTTGCATCGCTTGCATTTGCGGCATACGAGGACATTGGAATGTTGGATGTGTCTACGGCGAGGGTCTCGGGTTTGTCGCCCCGTGATACGCAGGGACGGTGAAAGGCCTTGCCTTCCCAGGCAATGCTGGCGAATCAGGCGAGCAACTTCCTTTCCACTGGAAAGCTACCGGAGCGGCTGGGCAACCAGCATCCCAACATAGTTCCTTACCAGGCGTGGGCCTCAAGAGTTGGCAGCTTTGGCGGTAGTTTTAGACGCCGCGTTTCGAAAGGTCATGCCAGCCTCAGACGGTTACTTTATCCTTGCGGTTGGGAACGACCCCACCTTCCAGCGCTTCGTGGCGGTCGCGGACAAGGCCGGGGGCGGCAGAGCCGGGATGGCGGAGACGAGCCCAAGCACCCCCAAACTTCCCACGAGGCGGACCCAGCGGCGAAGGCTCCGGCACTGCTGGACGACTGCCGCTTCAACTCACAGCCTGCCCGCGTGGACAATCGGTGCGCGTGACCAAAGCTGCAGCACAGCTTTGCACAGCTCTTGGACATGCTGAAAAAGCCGCAGGAAGCTGGTCACGGACACCTGCAATGCCATAACGAGGACGGCCTTGCTGGTGCCTGGCGGGAGGAAATTTCCTAAATCGTCGCGGCAGGAAGAAGCCAGTGGAGTGGTGGCTTCGTGAACTGGAAAGTGCGAGCATCGGCTGCTCTCCCATCAAAAACCTACAAGAAGTTTTCGAGGACCCTCAGGTTAAGGCGCCTCTCGGCTAGCCACAGTACTACATCTCGTGGTCGGAGCGTTCGTTTCCACGGTTGCGCTCTCCGCTTTTTGCCGCGATCCAAGGCGGGAGATGGTGATTGAAATGCCAATCGAAGGTTGGCGCATTTTTGTCCAGAGAGTCTAACGGGGTGCTTCCTCTTGGTCAGGTCATGCCCCGGCCAAGCTGGTGGCCTCGCCCCTGAAATTCTCTTCGCCACTCTGCAGTTGTTGGCTTCAGAAGCTCTGACTCAGCTTGCAAGCTTCTGGCCTTAGGACGCCCTGCTCGTACCGGCGGCCCCCGCCTGCCCTGGGTGAACACACAGAGAGCCTCCTCTCGGATGCTGGGTTCAGCACCAAAGAGATTGCGCAGCTCCGTGAGAAGGGTCGGGGCCCCGGCAGCCCGGCAGGTCGTGGCGTGCTGCTTGACTGTCCTTGTGTTTCCTTGCGTGCCACTGCTCTGCCAAGGTGTTGTTTAAGAAGACAGCTAGCAGCCTTTTGCATTGAGCCGCACGAGATGTACAGCTTGCCGTGCCAAAGAAGTGCCGGCAAGAAGGCTCATTTCATTGAATGCCAGCAGAGGTGCAGAAAAGCCCTTGTAGCAGATCCGAGCTTCTGGTTTCAAGCTCACCAGTTTCTCGTTTCCAGCTGCGAGGATTTGAAGAACTTCAACCTCTTGGTGGACAGCATTGACGATGTATTGGAAAAGGTGGACACAAATCTCAGGCGGGGTTGTGCTTTGCAACCGCAGCAGTATCGGCAAGACAGATGGTAGTTGTTTGCCTCTCATGTTGAAGCCAGGGATGCCAAGTCTGGCAAGCAGACAGAGGCTACGTGCCCATGCACGCTTTCGTGTGCCAGTGGATCAGACTTGTTGGCATTGTCACTTGTCACTTGCCTCTCTCTCTCTCTCTCCTCTGTCTCTCCCTCTCTACCTGTCTGCTTCTCTCCCTCTCTCCCTCTCTCCCTCCCCTCTCCTCTTTCCGATGGTGCGTGCCCACATACAAAGAATTGAAGCTGCTGGTGCTGCTTTGCTGGATGCAAGCGCAATGCACCAGAAGGTCAATTCTGGGTGTTGGCTAGCTCCATTTCCATTCTGCTCAGGAGGCTCCGGGTGGCGACGAGGAGGAGCCGGCGCCGACTCCCTCGGCAGGCCTTTGGAAACCTTCGGCCCTGCGGGAGGGTGTCATTTTCTTGTACCTTTTGTTAATTTTTTTTTTTTGGTCTTTGGTTTCGCCAGCTCGTGTCTTCAGGTTGCTTTGGATGTATTGCATGAGCCCACAAGTCTCCAGACCCAACATCAGCCAGGCTACCTGCGTTCCACAGTTGACGTCCTTTCGGTTCTTTCACTGCGCAGTTGCCGTTCATGCTGCGATACTCTTAAGTGCATCGCGGCTGAGTCGGCCACTTCGAAAGGCCAGTCGTGCAACGTTCACGCCACGGTACTGAGGCACTCGCAGGAAACATCAACCCCGTTTGATCAAGTCTGTCTGCGCGAGTTATTTAGGTCTCCGATTCTGTCAACCCTGATCAATCCGCGAGCCCCTTCAGAGCTGCGTGGGTCGGCGAGCATGCCTGGTGCACACGCTCCCAAGCTGGGAAGTTTCAACGTAAGGTAAGGCAGGATGCTGAAAGCGCATGCGAGAATTCAGCTTGAGTTGCACAACTTGCAATCCTCGTCCTTGCTGGTTCCTGCGACAACAGATGACACACCCGCAGTAGAGAATTCTTTCGACCGTGTGCCATGGCTTACCCTGCTCAAGAACGCATGGTGACTCGCGTAGGCTGCAAGCTCTCCAGCAGCCCTGGTTTTCGCTCAAGTTGCTTTGCGAATCGACCTGGTGGCCAGCTGTTTTTCTTATCTTTTCGTTTTCGGCCCTGCCCTGTGTGCCCTAATTTGTTAATGACGCAGAACCGAGTGCTCCACTCGGTGGGCTTGGCTAAGCTGGCTGGCTCGGCTAGGCGAACTCTCGTTCCAAAGAAGCCAGCCGTTGCGACACCTACTGTCTTGAGCAACTGTCTGCTGGTCATGGGCGCCTTAGCAGGAGCTGGGGAGGGTCTCTGTCTCCTTCTTACCTGCTGAAAGCGCTTTTGCGCGAGCTTCCTCGCTACGGTCTTGTGCTTGGATGCCCGGGCTGCACAAGCTGGAGCCTTACTCGCCGAATCCATAGAGCAACGTTTTCAGAAGCGTTTTTTTGCTTCTGACTTCGTCGCAGAATGTGGAGTCCGTTTTAGCTTGCTTTACGCTCCGTACTCAGCTACCGGGCTTCGTTGCAGATGCCATGTGTCGGGCGCGGTGTTGATGCGGGCCATCGCCAGTTGGCGAGGTCTATTGCGTGTGGAGGCGGGCCAACTCAGGAAGGACTGCGTAGCGGTCCACAGGAGACGCCACAGCTAGTGATGTGCCAGGTTGTGTTGCTGAAACCTCTGTGACCGGCGGGCGCTCTGCCCTCCACAAAACGGTGGTGCTGAAAGTTCCGACTGCGACCCACCGTTGTGCAGCAGCTTCTCAAGGACTTAGGTCATTGTTTTGCTTGTGCAGTACCTGCTAGGCCGGCCCGCAAAGTTGGCCGGTCAGAACCTCAGGAGCTCGTGGTGCTACAGGACTTGGAGGCAGTTGGAGATTGACACCGCTGCGCCGTTGCTCACGGCACCAAGCCTGCCTTATTCGCTCCAGTGCCAAGCGTTGTCTGCTGTCGTCTCTGTTTACAGCTTCCAGCTGCACTGCGCCTGGGCCCCTCCCAGGGTCGTTCGAGGAGCAGCTGGAGGTGGTAGTGGATGAGGAGGGAAGCCCTGAAGAGACTCCTGAAACTTCTAGCCCACCTGCTGAAGAGTTGGCTGAAAACTCGCATGAGCGCATGCTTGAAGTTGCTTTGCTGCGAGGCAATTTGCGGCGGCGGTGGGGGGTCTGCGGCCTCACACCGCAAGAAACAGCAGAAGCAACAACGTCGCAGTGATGACCAATCGTTTATTGCTTAATATGCCTGATGATGTCGAGGACGGTCAAGACGCTTCTTAGCACGTTCCGGAACATGTGGTGCAAGAACAAAAACGCTGCCCAGACCCAAAGCTCCTTAGTTCACCAACTCGGGGATCTCTGGGAGCCTCTGATCTAATAGCAGCAAGCCTCGGTTGAGCAAGTCGAACGGCAAGTTAAGGCTCTCCTTGCTGAAAACCAGCGGGCGCGACGACGGCAGAACGCTAGCGAAGCGAACAACCCCGGACCCCAAACTCCGAAAGGTCCGGAACAACCGAATCCGTCCAGTAGACGTGTTGAGTTGACTATCCGTGCTGAGAAGCAGCGTGCTGGTCCAAAACTCCCGCGCCGCAACCACAATCCACTTGGTCGCCGTTCTCAATGGCCACTCCACCAAAGCGATCGAGAGGGGTTTGTTGATTTATGGGGAAGAGCATTCGGCGCTATCTCGGCTGATCTGGGCTTCAGAACGGGCTCGCAAGGGTTTTTTCACCGGCACCAAGCTTCGCAGCAAAGCCTGTCAGGCCCCTTGGCAGCAAGGTGTGATTGAGAGACATGGTGGCTGGTAGGGAGGTGGCGAGGACCAGCTTGGGAGGCGAAGGTAGCATCTGGTGGATATGTCATGGAGGGCGCTCCTACTTCACGGCGGAAGGACGTATGAGACCGGGCACCGCGGAGGAGATCGGAGACCTCATGATTTCATCGCCCGGGCCGACTTGGAGAAGCTACCTTCCGGATATCGTCGAAATCGATGACGAGGAGATGGACTTGGATCCACGAACAGAAGAACCAGAAGGAGATGTGGAACCAGCTCATGGTGACGATTCCCGCGAACCAGAAGTTCGAGCGCCTTGTGGACTCGGCCGGCAGCGTGTTCGAAGGTTCTTTCCGATTGATCAGCAAAAGGCTGAGCGAAGCTTTTCTTATCTCCGATTGGGAAATCAACAACTTCGAGTTTCTCGGATCGAGAATTCAAGTGAGTTCCTCGGGCGTCAGGGTGGGCCCGCGGATCGACAGCCACAGCCTGGTCGGAGCACTTTCGTGGGGTGGGTCCCAGACCAGGCCAGACCTGGTATGCGGAGTGTGAATTCAATGGCGCAGCAGCTCCAGAAGGCTCCAACGGCCGACGGCTGGAGGATGACCACGACCGTGGAGTCCTGACCGGGACCCCCTACGACTACAAGCTTTCCGACATACTGACTGAACCGATGGTTGCTGATAACTGGTGGCGCATGATGTCCGAGAAGCTCTACATTCCGCTTAAGCGATGCAAAGCTCGCGAATCCGTCGCTGTGATCAAGGCACCAGAGCCGTCTTTCGAGGAAAAAGTTTCTCGAACGTTGTAGTCCCCGAAAAAGGTTGTGGTTCTAAGTCGTTGGAAAGGTCTTAGTCAGTTGTGCTTGTCGCTTGTGAGCTCTGTTGATCCTTTAGTCGGTTCTAGTTTAACAGTAACAACGCAGCCCGGGAGTAACACAAAAAGGGCGAACAAAACCAAGGACAAAAAAAACTGCATGCAGGCGGGATTCTGCTGGCACAGGGATTGAACTCCTTCAGTCCCGTTGCCACCGCAGGATTTGGTTTGGTCTTGGGTCTAGGAGTAGGACGTCTAACAGTGTTGGGCCATCGCAGGTTCGCATGCCCTCCGCGCGGCGAAGCCGCAGGTGCAAACTCAGCCCAATGCCAACTTGGCTTACATTGGGTCGGCAGGTGCGATGGCGTCAGCTTGTCGACAACCACCGGAAGCGCTTTGTGCCCAGGCGCACGTAAAAACGAAGGTTGTTTTGCTGTTTGTTCATGGCCATGCATTCCCGTGGCTGTGCAGACTTTTGGTGAAGCACAACGAGAAAACTCCGCTGAGCCTCACGCTCTTGGAAGCCCAGTGCAAGGCACCATGGCCATGTGCGACGATGAGGTTTCCTAGATGTCCCTTAAATTGCTGAGCCGCGAAATCGATCTTCTCTGAAGCGAGATGTTTGCAGGCTGGAATCCGGTCGTCTTCCGGAGTGGCAATCTCAGCATCGCCAGCATTGCGATTGTCCGAAGCCCGAAGGCGACTTGCAAGTGAGGTGCAAGCGCCGCAGACCCATCAGGATGGAGACGGTGAGGCTGCGTTGGACAAAGTTGTAAGCTTGATTCGTGGTTCTTGATGATTCTATCCGTAGCAAGCTTTGCGTTCGAAAATTGAGTAGACGGTACATGCCGACGCGCTGAAGCAACAGTATGGTGGCAAGTTGTGGCAGTGTTCGAGCCAAGCTGCCGGTTAAAGGATCCTCTTCCCAACCCGTACGAAGAGGACCTTGCTGGTTCTGCTTTCATAACGCTCTGTCAGGTCAACACATCCATGCTTGCTTGCGGTCAGAGTCAGTGTAGCCAATCCGGAGCACATACTACATATTGAATCGCGAGCAATTCTGGCTCAAACTCCAGCCCGTTCATCAGGCCTTTCCAACACCATGCGTGTTCGTCCCTTAGACGTCTCCAGTGGTTTGCAGAGTCGAAGACCTTGTAGATCCTATCGCACATGCAAGTGTGGCATGTGACCTGCAGGTTGTTCTTGCATATCTCCTGGCGGCCGCTGCTGCAGCTAGCCTCCTCGAAGGCACTCCAGGGGTCTTCTGATTGCCAGAAGACCTCTCAGTCTCCGAAGTTTTTTTTTTTCTAGAACCTGAGATGCTTCCGATTTGGGCCCAGACCTCTCGGAGCAGCTGGGCGCCGAGCGCGCCTCCGCAGTGGAGCGCCGGGCCCTGCCGCTGGAGGCGGTGCTCCGGCCGATTCTGCAGGCGGCTCTCCGAGGGCTTTTGGACTGGGAAGTCCTACGACTTTATGACTTTGACTCTGTCGCGCCACCAAGCGACACCGCTGGTTGTGTGCGCCTCAAGATCTGGAGACTTATTTCTCTTGCCGTCTATGCGGGTGGCTTTCTGACCTGGGTATGTGGGGATGGGATAGGCAAGCCAGCGGGTTGATGTGGAGCCACGAATTGGACAAAGGGAACCAGGAACCCCAGCAACCCAGGCCACCGTCGCAGAAGAGCCCGAGCGGCGCATTTGTTCACCCTGACGATGTTGTGTGTCTATGTACGGCCGAGATGGGTTTGCATGTGCGGAGACTTGAACTGACAAGGCCGATCTCAAGTATTCTCAAGGTTGAGTGTCAGGATTGACTTGGGCTTTCCAGCTGCTGCCAAGCTTGGTATCGATTTGCTGAAGTTTCGCAGGCTCTTCCCAAGTCCGGCTCTGGAAACTGCCTGGGAGCGGCTGCAGCCCGCTACGCCCTTCATCGAGTTTTCGTTCAGGAGCGGGGGAGCCGTCTGTATACGCCTGTAGCCTCTGTAGCTTCCGATTGCAGGAGAGGGGCTGGTTCGTCAAGGGCCTGCAAGAGTTGGACCCTTCACGCCACTTGTCTGCAGCTGGCCTGATTACAGTGATTACAGCATGTAGAATGAAGCGTCAATACGAGTCATCCTCGAAGCAACCATCGGCGTTGGCAACAAGCAAACCAGGACTGTAAGCGACATTGTTGGAGACATGCCGCAACAACCCGCATACAAACTATCCACATCCCGAGTGTCCTTTGCTTGAATTGTGTCGTGCCGGCCCCGCGGCAAGCACTTCAATTTGCACACATTTCTCAATGTGCGAGTACTGTTCTGGAAGAGGCGTCGTGGCCAACGCAAGCACCGTCGCGGCATCGCCAGTTGCGATCCTTCAGGACCAGGTGCCTGAAGCTGTGAAAAGCCTCTTCGAAGCGCCGCTTAGGCGGGCAAGTGGCGCATCATGAGTGCTGGGCATTCTGCAGACGTGTAGAAATTGCATGTTCTTGCTGAGAGGCAACAGGGGCTTTGCCTGCGAGAGCTTGCCATGCTGGCAGCGTTGCTGGAAGATCTGGTGCCTCGCCATCGAAATCTCAGCAAGAACAGATGCTGTTTCGTGGCACGCCCTGGCGCCGCTAGGTTCACCGGGAGACGATGCAGCGTGTTGGCAGCGCATTCAAAGCGCACCATGTTCCCCTGGTCGGGCGCGTCACCGTGGAGAGGGTGACGGCCATGTTGGAGTACGTGATGATGAGCTACATCCTGGAGGTGGGAAGGATCGGCCGTGTAGGGACTAATTAATGGCTTGGTTGCCAGCTTTAAGCTTTCATTTGGAGCTTGTGCAGGTCGCAAGTCTGGATGGGACCAACCTGGTTGCAGACGATGCCAAGGCATACTTGGAGGGGCGGCTTCCCATGGAGGACGTGTATCCTTCTTGGCCGAAGACGCAAAAGTTCATCCGCGACATTCAGGACACATCTCAAGCTTTCGAAGGGTTTTTCTTGGCCAGTGTCTGGGTTCAATCTGCAGTTCCTTGCACAGGAAGTGGTGGCACCCTCGCAAAAGGGCAGTCTGAGCTTCGAGGATGTCACTCATATCGTGGAAGAGATCAACGAACACTATGGCCGCTGGCACGACGAGAGCGACTGTGCAGACATGAAGGGTGTGTTGCTGAACATGGAGGGGAAGTGTCCTGGTCGGGTGGATCTCTCGCGATTCTATGCGGCATCCCTCTACGAGGATCGCTGGCAGTTCAGCGAGAGCGCCTCCTGACTCTAGCTCAGAGGAGCGGCCAAGGGCTGTGCTCAGGGCTTCAAGCCGAGGTGGTTGCATAATGTTGCAGACTTTTTTTGCTCAGGTTCACTACTTAAGGGACTTGGGGGCCCTCGATGAGAGCCAGCCGGAAAGCAGTGTGATCGTGTCCAACTACGTCCTGGGGGCCTCGAACTGCGTGGGCACCTCGCGCTTCTACGCCCAGTGCTGCGTGGACCCCTGCGACCAGCTCGTGGAGCTTCGGCCCAAAATAAGAAATGAGACGACATATGAGACGACCTGAGAGCTCTCTTGCAGAGAGAGGAGAGAGAGGAGAGAGGGGAGAGGAGAGGAGAGGAGAGGAGAGGAGAGGAGAGGAGAGGAGAGAGAGGAGAGAGAGGAGAGGAGAGGGGACTCTGATCTCTTCTGAGAGTCGAAGTCCTCAAAAGCAGGCTCAGCTGGAGAAGGCCCTCGCTGCTCCGAGGGCTTCGGCGTCGGACCTGGCAGCAGCTCTCAGGGCCCTGCCGGCTCCGGGCTCCACGGCGCGCCCCGTGGAGGACCTCCAAAAGGCACCCATGGGACGATATATGGGGGGTCCTTTTAAAGCGCCATTCTGGCTTCCTGCTTTTGTAGAGTCTCTAGAGCAGTCTGCAGCCATGGCGAGGCCTCGACCGACGGTCTCGTGGCACTGCATGGTCGCCTCTTTGCGCAGTGGCTGCACCACGCGTACCCGCGGCAGTGCCCGATGCCAGCACGTGCCGGCATGCGCCTCTGGCAAGAGCTGCCCAGGGATTTCACTCTGCGCACAGGCAGGGGTGGCATGGGCTTCTTGCCGGGTTTTGCAGAGAGGAGAGGCCGCGAGACCTCCTCTTCGAACTTCGCAGACCTTGCCCAGGCCAGGACTATGCGGCGACCCATGAGGAGATGAAGCGATACGCAGACCAGAAGCACTCCAAGGAGGGAGTATGCCGGCTTCCTTGGATAAAGGAGGACACTGTCGTGCCACTGCGAACACGCGAGTTGTAGAGCCACTGAAAGCCGGAGTTGTAGAGCCACTGAAAGCCCGTAATTATCCCGGCCCCCTGTATTTCGGAGGAGTTGCTGGTGTCGGAAATGCCCGCGACTGCTTCGGTCGTGCCACCCGATGTGGCACATTCGCTGAAGGCTGTTTTGGACAGCGGAGTGGCCAAGGCACTCTGCCTAGTCGGTTTCGCTCTACTGGTGATGCTGGCGGTGATGGGCGTGGCGAAGCGCGCGGTCCGAGCGCCCGCACGGGGCCCCCTCCTGGCCACGGAGGCGGAGGCGGTGCAGCCAGCATCTTGCGAGGCATAGCACTGATCTGATCATATCTGATCTGTTTTCTCGGCAGGGGCAGGGAAAAGAGAGTGCGGGGCGTGTGCGATCCAGCAACACATTTGCTTGCTTGCGTAACGTGAAATCGTGAAACACCAGGAGCTGAGTGCCTTGTCTTGGCCGGACGAGTTTTTTCGGCCGCACGCTGCCTGTCGCTTCAACCGCATGGAGGCGTGCATCTTCCGCAGTGTGACACACAAGCATTTGTCCGAACTGGAGCCGGTGCCGCCAACTTTTGTGCCTGCAGGATACGCCCTTGATCATGGTCCGTACAGAGGAAGAGCTGAAAGAGATGGTGGAGGAAGTCAGTGTGGTAGTTGCATCTTAGCCGGAGCTGAGCAGATTGTCAAGCAATATGTGGAGTTGATGTGGCGACTGCGGAGGAGATCAAAGGAACCTGCATCGGACAGGAGATTGCCGTGGACGTCGAGCATCACGATTTCAGGCAGAGTCTAAAGCTGCGCGAGAACCTTCAACTCTAGCTGCTGTCTTCCCCAAGGTCATTTCGCGGCTTCGTATGCCTCATCCAGGCAGACGCTTGATCCGCTGTGATGTCTTCCTCTTCCTGCCGTGTCTGTGCCCGCAAGGTGTCCACTCGGAAGAAGGACTTCTTGATCGACCCGTTCGACATCTTCGAGCAGCTGCACATGCTCAATGAGGCCCAGACCTGTGCCAAATATTCAGCAACGCTGTGCTGCTACAGAATTGCACTCCAGGTCTTTTCCGATCCGCGCATCGTGAAAGTGCTTCACGGCGCGGACCGCATGGTTCCCGGAAGCTGGTGGACTTGTGCGTATGTCGAATTTCGGAATTAATTGGCTGACGATCTCCTTAGGTGACGTGCTGTGGCTACAGCGCGACTTCTCGATATACCTGGTGAACATGCCAGAAGCCCATCTGAGTGTGATGGCCTCTGATCTGTATGGCAGAAGTGCGAGGTTTGACACGGGCCTTGCCACCCGTGCACTGCGATTGCAAGGCACTGCCGGGTTTGGGCTGTCTTTGGTGGTCAACAGCCGTGACAGGCGGTTACTCGCTCGCCAACCTCGTTTCCCACTTCTGTGGGGTACGATTCTCACTGCAAGACCAGGGCCGCGACAGGGGAGCTTGGGAGTAGCACATTGCCGTTGTGCCGTGTTCGCACCCACGGGCTTCAGCAAGAGCCAGGCATAGAACCAGTCACAACAACATGCCTTCAACGCTTCAAATGTCATGACACTTGTTTTCACCTTTCACTGAACTGAGTGCAGAACTCAGATCATTCTTGGACCCCCAGCCGCGAAGACAAAAACTCCCCTTTGATGTGCTAGATGCATCCAGTCGGTCCGGATAAGCCAGCGCATGGCTGCAAGGCACCTCTGTTGCTGCTGTGCGCTCGTAGAGTCGTGTTGTATAGTGATCTGCTCATCTCAATCTGTGCCATCGTCAAGTCAAGCCGTCAAGCCGTCCTCGCTGATTGACTGCAGAGGCTGCTAGGAGGTGGAGTGTGAGCGCGCAGGCAAAGACATGGACGACTGGTCGACCGACCCGGTGGCGGCGCCCGTGCAGACCGAGCTGCATGCGATAGATTCCGGCAGGGGCCACGGAGTAGCACAGGGAGAGGGCACTTCCGTTCTAAGAGCACGACAAAGATCGAAGAAACGGATAGGGACTCTTTCTCATCAATGCAACGGCAGAAGGGTGACAGCACCTTAGGCCTCTCGGGCCACGGCCACCAGGGCGACGTCTCGGAGGGCCTGGGCCTGGGCCTTAAGGCGCCGGGCCCGGGCCCCGAGGATGGCGCCGAAGTGCAGAGGCAGGGGCGGCAGGGCGCAGGGAACCTCCCAGCCTGTTGCGACTCGTGCGAATCGAATATCGCTGATTCAATCGGTTCGGGTGTGTCCTCGATTCATTTGAATCGCGGTTCGGTTTTTGGCCTCTCTTTCGCGTCTCTTTCTCCTGGTCGGTGGAAGCTGGATCAGGCTTCGCGAGGAGAATGCAATGCTGCGCGCACAGGTGCGGGAACTGCAGGCCGCAAGCTTAGAGAGCTCGAGGGCCTGGGTCTGGTCCAGTAGGCTCTCTGCAGAGTGCAGGTGGTGCTGGCCACCGGAGTCCTCACCGAGATCGCCAGGCTTCCCTGACATCAGCCTCACTTATAGGCTTATATATAGGTATTTGAAAACGTGCACCTAATGTAGTTATTCATGCATATGTTACATATGCATGAGTTCTCCTTGTGTTGCGTCGCACTTTCTCTCAGGCTTCGGGAGGAGAACGAGGAACTTCAGCTGAAGAGCGCGGTGATGGCCGAGAGCTGGGTTGGCAAAGGGTGAGCGGCTCGGTTTTGGCTCGGTTCTCTTGGACTCTTGGACTTGCCTTGCGGCCTTTGATGCGGAGAGTGGAGGTGGAAAGGGCCGGCGGCTTTGCTCCAGGTGCTTGGCGTGATCAGGTCTGTTAGATCTCCCCTTTTGTTGGATCTCGCTAAAGCAGGCGCCCTACGACCTTTTCCTGGTCTTCTCGATCAAGGCAAGGGCGCAGTATGGCGCAGTTTGTTGAGGCGTTTAGAAGCAGTGCATCAAAAGAGGCTGCAGAGATTACAGCCTACTACGGCTTCTCGTACATCTTCGTGCAGGTGCCTCAGGCTCAGGTGCTTGTGCAGGGCTTTATCTCCCATGCGCGCTCTGCAGGTCCTATGTCTCAGACGAGTATGGCATGTCCGACGAAGAAGCTGGAAGACTCTACGGGGCCTACGGCTTTGCCTGCACAGGCTCTGAACGACCAGAGATGCTGCGAATTGCTGCGAGCAGCTGAGATGTTGGGACCGGGACAGGTGTTGGGCTCCTCCTTGGCTTCCTTATCGATCGACTTGGCGTGCGCCGATCGATGCTGCTGGGCCACGTCCCCAGGAAAGACAAAGTAAGACGCGTGAGCTTTGCTGTGCTGTGCAGTGCATGCTCCAAGAACGGTGGGAGTGGATGAGAGCAAGATTGAATCTTGCCTGACCTGTCAGGCTGCACCTGTTCCACGCTGTACCGGGCAGTTTGCGCTCTTGCTTCTTCGAGGCACCCTTTCGGTGGTCGCTTTAGTTTGCAACTGCCTCTGACTCGCTCCCACGTTTGTAGAGTTGAGACGCTTCACTCGGGCGATCTGGGGCGAGGCAGCTGATGTGGTTTTCCACCATGACGTTTGCTCCGGTGGGCGCGGCCTTTGGCGTTCCTGTGCTAGCTCTTGCTGTGCGGCGATACACGCACAGGCAACCGGACTGAAGAATGCAGATGTTTCAGCGGTTCGTGACGGTTAGTGTCCTGTTTCATTGGCCTTGCTGGACCGTTGCGGCCCAACTTGTGCAAGAACCGCCAGTCAGCAAGACATGATATCATTCACACGACCGGGCTTTCTGCTTGTTTTGTTCCTTAAGCAGACGAGCCCGCACGGACTTTTTGTCGCGCTTCCTCTTCCGACTCCAGCCTGATTCCTTCGCAGTGCAGCAGAAGACAGAGTCAGCCAAGGGAGAATCGTGCTTTTGCCTTCTCCTTCTTCTACTCAATGCTTTGCCTGGGCTGCCTGCTGGGCCGTGCGCTTACTTTCAGTCTTGGATTGAGAGAGCTCCTGCAGAGTTGCTTTGGCTTAGTTGGGATTTAGAGTGCCATCGCATGTTCCGCTTGACTTCGCATCTCCTCGCCTTCCCGCGTTTCGAAGGCTCAGTTCTGATCAACATCGTCCGCGATGTCCTCGTCGACGGGACAGTAGTGCTCGGCGTCTGGGCCCAAGCTGCTGCGGCGATTTGCCGTCCCGCAGACGCTCGAGTTTGGATGTCTTTCGTGTTCTGCTATTCTGCTTCGGTTCTTGTGTTCGGAACTGCTGAATTCGGTATGCATCCACTGCAGTGCTGTTGCAATTCTGTTGCCTGCCTCTTGTGGGGCTTGTGTGGTTAAAATAACAGCTTCTAAAATTCTAAAGCATGCCTGTCTGCTGTCGGTAGTCCTTGGAACTCTTTGTAGGTGAAGCTGAGCTGGATGAGAATGGTCCTGTGGCTGCCCTTTGGCTGGATCGTGCCGAAGTTGAAGCACCGCAGCCCGTAAAGTAAACGTGTGCACAGTTGCTAGCCATCGCGAATGAGGTGTACGGCGTGCACGTTCTACACAGTTATTGCTTCTCTCTTCGTGCGGGACATCCAGATCCTTTCTGACATGCCCCTGAAGGACTCGATGAAAGTTCTGTTGGAACGCCTCTGCAATGCACCGAAATCCCGTTGAAGCTCTCGGAGACCCCGGAAGATCTTAGAGTTGAGATGATCACAGGCTCCATGGCGAGTTGAAGCTTATGTTACGGAGATCACTTGCATTCATTGGGGGCTCCACTGGTCTTTCACGCCTGGGAGGTTCTTACGTGTTCGCATACACTATTTCAGTCGTGAAGCGCTGCCAGGATAGAGAGTACTGCAAGTTCAAGCCAGCCAACTTCCAGGTTGGACTGGACATTTGCTCCGGTTTTTTCTACGGACTCTGCGGTGTTCAGGTCCGGCAGACCATCAAGGAGATCATGGGCCAAGCCAAGTTCTGGCGCTTGGCCGGGATCACAGGAATCTTCATAGGCAGGGAGCGGCCGGGCGTAGGGTGTCTAGCGGCCTCCTGATTCCTTCACATGACAAGCAGGTGTCCGAATGACCTTCCGGCACTTGGATGCCACGTTCCCGAAATACTTCATTCGAACTTATGGACCGCAGGCATGGCACGGCGCCCTCAGAGTCTATCTTCATTTGCGATCACCGCCGGCGTGACAGGCCCCATTTGAGATCATCCTGGGCATCAACCCTATTGTCGAAATGATCGGGACACCTTTGATGACTGGCCTTTTGCTGACTCTCGGGAGCAGCGGCAGGGGCATTTGCAGCGAAGACATCGCAGCCAGTCAGAGCGTGTTGAGTCCTGAGCAAAGGAAATGGAACGCCACGTTGTCCCAGAAGCTGCCCCGACCTCGGACTTCTAGCTGGAGAGAGACGGGTTTTAAGCGATCAGCAGACTGGGCACTCCCCTTGAAACCCAGGCTTTGGGGATCCTTCATCTCCGGTATCTCGGTCTTTGCGCTCGCCATCTGGGAGTCTTACCTGGGTGCGGTGGTTTTCGTCTTGGTCCTTTCCCTCGGCGACACTGGGCCGTGACTAGCAAGCCTTGTCTCGTCAAGAGGGTCACAGCTCAGACCGAGAGCGCCTAGGACACCATCTGGTCACCCACGCTTTACGAATTTTCGACGATGGCAGCCACTGAGGGCAAGGACCGCCGAACCGACCCAAGTCCGAGGAAGTTGCTGCACAGCTCTGCTCCTGCCGTCGTGAAAGGAGGGGATGTTTTTGGCAATCACAATGGCGCCCATGTACTTGGCAGCGCTTCCTGTGGGCCTGATCTCAGGCGCCCAAAGAAGGGACGAAGTGCGGCGCGGGTCTTCCACCGCTTTGTCCACTGGGCGGGTCACGATACCGGGTGCCACACCCGAGGAGCACGCATCATGCGCATCATGGACATTACGGGTTCCCTCATCCGAATCACCTGTGCCTTTGTACCTGCAACACCACTCCCGTATGCGCCAGCAGAGATCACAAGACTAGGAGCATCATCGGGGAGCTGTTTTTCCTCCTATTCCTTTGCAACACCCAACAGCGCGCATCATCAGCATCATCCGGGTGATGTTATCTGGACCCTTCCATGCTGTCAATGCCTTCCCCTGTGCGTGCTACTCGAAACCCAGCAGCGCATCAGGAGCATCATTCGATTGATGTGCTCGGGAGCCGAGCAGCAAGAGTGCCTGAAAGGTGTTGGTGTGGCCGAAGCTGCTCCAATGGGGCCGGAAGGGTTTCGGTTGGGTTGGGCTCAGGGGCGGTCTTTGTGGCACAGCCAGCGCTCCAACTCCAGGCAGGGAGAGGGGCAGTGCTCCAAAATGGTCTGAAAGGGTTCGGGGTGAGGGCAGTACTTGCGTGGTTGGGGAGACCCACCGCTGCAACGCGGCGTGCTAGTTTCGGGAAGAGGGGGGGCTGCGAGACGGGTGCGGCTCAGGTTGTCGTCGAGGATGGCGGTCGTAAGACGGGGTGCGAGATGCGGGTGGTTGGGAGGAGGGCGGCGCAGGTGATCGGGAAGGATGATGGTCATGCGGGCTTGTTTTCCTGTGATGTGATTGTCTGCAGGTTGGGCCTTGGGCAACTTCTGTCCCCAGAACGCCACCCCGGAGGAGAGTTGCGAGTGTTGGGGCGGCGTCACTGCATGCAAGTTCTGCAGTTCGGCTCCTCTTGCCGAGGAGCGGCGCTCACAGCTGATGTGGTTCATCATCGGAATCACAGGCCCCGGCAAAGATCAGGAAGCATTCTCTGTGATTTCGGAACTGTCGCTTGCGGGTGCTTGTCAGCCTGTCAGGATTCGTGTCTCCGGTCGCGCTCTGGTTCTTCCAGAAGAAGCTGATCCTGCCCGAGGCCGATGGCGTTCGAATAGAAGAGCTCAAGACCAACTAGAGAGGGCTTGCCGACACCATGCAGGGATCTGTTCCATCTCATGTCTGCTGTGTTCAGGATGAGAATGCCGGCGAAAAGGAGCCCTCTTTGAGCTATCGAGTCTGTAGCTGCTGCAATCCTGATGGCCGATGCTGCGAGGAGTTGGAGAGAGACGAGGGCGAGGGGGAGTACCGTCAGACGAGAAGGCTGTGGCGCGACTTCGGCAGACGTGAGCACAGCTTGTGGCTCTGTCAGACTGTCAGGCTCAGAGATGCAGGCGATGCAATGGGCCAGTCCCCAAGTACTCTCCAGGAGGCCGGCTGCGGATGAAACTCCGTGTTATGCGGTTCTGCGCGTGGTGTTTGATTTTGTGCGGGTTATGCCGATTGGTACCTCTGCTGCTGTTGCATGCCGCCCTTAGTCTTGTTACGATTGCTATGACGATGATGTGTGTAACGTCACGTTACGCAAGACCTCCAGTCTGCGACAGGGTAGGAGGAAGCCTGGCCCAGGTCGTAGCAGTTTTCACGTAGCATTAGTTAGTCGTTGTTGGTGACGTGAAAGAGAGGTAAAAGTCCTGGGCAAACACGCCCTTTTTTTGGTGGTTGACTTTAGGATTGCAGCCTAAGACTCTAAGGCTGCCCGCGAAACAGGACGTCAGTAAGCCCGCCCACCCCCCCCCACCCCACCCCTCTCCCCCAAAGAGCAAGCAGAGCACATCACAGAAAACGGCACAGACAGAAAAACGCAGAAAGCGCAAAGCGCGGGATAGCAAGAAACATGGTTTCAGGGAGTCAGGCAGATAACACGCAGGCACGTTTTTGGAGCTTCGGACGAAGTCGCAACCAAAAACGTACGACCCAAACTGGCGTCAGTTTTGGTGCAAAAAACAATGAAAGCGGAAATGAGACAGAATCGGCTACCAAGAGCGCAACATGTGCAAGCAGGCGACAACCTCGCGCAGGACGGTGTTTTCCAAGTGAGGGAAAGGCAGTATTGAAGGAGAGGGGCATGAACAACAGCAAAACCACCCCCGAAGGTGAACCTGCTAGGGCAAAAGGGGATCAGAACAAGTGACGGTGCAATCAGGCACTCCCACCCTCCCACCATTTTGAACTCCAGGATGCCCGTGATGAATCCCCCTCTGAGCGTGCGGTTCGGCTGAACGTCGAATGCGCCCTGTCGCACCCGGAGGAATACCTGTGAGCTGAGCCCAGTTCTCACCTTTTGCGCGCTTCGTGTTCAGGACTCCGAGTCGGTAGGCTCCTTTTCTCGGAGCGACCCTTTTGGGAAGCACTTCTCACAACGCCGGGTCTTGTGTGGGTCCTCCCGGCCTACCATAGGCCGTCTTCCACGGTTTGTGGTGATGCAAGGCTCCATCCATGCGAGACTTATGCCAAGCCTTGGTATCGGTGTTCTGAATGTAGTGCGATGGCGCCGATAGCCGGGTCTCCTTGAGGCTCGCGATTTCTTGCGCCATCATGGCCTTCAAGGGACTCTGAATCTGAATGCCTTCCGCGATGACTTGTGCCCGCAACTGCTCAAACTTCGGCGGCTTCGCGAGTCTGAGCTTCGGCCACCTCGGTCAATTCAGTGACTTCCACTGGTCTTCTGGATCAAGAATCATGGAGCCGAACGGTGAAGCCTGAAGGAAGCTGCAATATGTGACTTTCAGCAGTGGCGCGTCTGGCACCGACCAAGCAACCACTACCCAGCAGAAATGCCGAGTACAGGAACGATAGCAGCAGGGCTCCCATGGGCGCCGCAGGTCAAGGGCTCCGGCCGAGGAGCGTGCCACAAGAGTAGCTCGGTCGACATGCAACTATGCTGCCCTCTACAACAACTTCACTCAGGTCGGTTTCCAATCCGGTGCAGCCGAATCTGAAGATGTAGTTTGCTGCATTTCCCACCCTGCCGCCCGTGCACACCTAAATTTGTCACGATCACACAAAGTGTTAACTGCCACAAAACGATGAGTAGGTTTCACAACGGTGTCTCAAGACGTCCATCTTGGAAGCTGCAGCAGCTCCGTTGTGGACTGAAATAAAAACCATGCATCCATGTTTAGTCCTGTAGGAGGGTTCCATGCCTTTTTTGCCTCCTGTTGTGGGTTTGCCGGGTGTGTGTGTGGGGGGGAGGGTCCATTCTGTGTTTCAAGATACATTATGATGAGGCTCGTAGGCAGGAAGTAGGAGATTGAAACTGACACTGGCGAACATACCGAAGGTACCACGTCTGTCACACAAAGCAAGGTTTAACATAGGGTTGATAATCTACTGAAGCAACCTGTCGTGTGACATGCCAAATCACATCATCACGTGTCATGTCATGTCATGATATATCACATCATATCAGATCATGTCATGTCATGTCATCTCCCATCATGTTACTCCACGTCATGTCACACGACGGCTTGCAGCGGATTCTCAATCCTCTGTTGAACCCTGTTTGGTGTGACAGGCGTGGTGCTTTCGGTATGTTCGCCAGTGCTACTTTCAATCTACTACTTCCCGCGTAAGAAGCACTTTATAGGTTCTAGAATCCACAACACCGGCTGACAGTGCAAAAACCATGCGTTTTCTAACATTTCTTAAACAACTGAACCTTTTTCTGAGCTTCTACAATGCAGCACTGATGCACACGAAACATCGGCATACGCGGTGCAAACCGAACTGCCCTCAAACTTTCAGGGCTCCGCAACCCCCCTGCAGGGATATTTAGCTTCAAAGAATGGCTGACATCAGCTGACAGGATCTGTGATTTCTTTGTGCACTTCTTTTCAAAACGTTTCCAAATTGTGCGCTAACTGAAGCATAGATGCTGGTGATATCTTGGTCGACAAGCAGGGAGGGAACTACAGGAGATTGAAATCCGAGAGTATGATGTACGAAACACATCCAAACACCGGCGCTGATAGGGAGGTAAGCTGCCTGTGCCAGCATGCCAGGGGACGACGTTGGTCATCGGCCGACCTTTGCCCGATGAAGTTGTCCCCGAGGACGTGGCACTGAAGTGAGGATGCCAGCCAACTTCCGAGAGCACCGCGTGCGGCGGACTTGAATCCTTAGGCGCTTGAACAACCTTGGCTTATAGCTTTAGGTCGTATTGTGCGAGCTGCTCTGCAATACGTTGTCTGGTCGAAAGAAGACCGGACAAATAGAGCTCACCTGAAGCTTCCCGTTAATGTGCTGCTTCGGCCACAGTGGCTTCGACCGCAGTCGAAGCTTGGCAAGATGCACAGCGAAATCGCTGCTCGCGCGCATCTGCGTGGTTTTTTTCTCCCTCGCCCACTCACTCGATCTTGCTTTTGGTCAGATGCTCAGAGCTGCTCAGGTGAAGCTGGACAAGAAGTACCAGACGGCGGACTGGAGAGAACGGCCGCTTTCTACGGAGCGCTTGCTTTGATTGGCACCACATCGTTCCCACATAGAAATGCCAGTGAAGGAGATGGTCCACTACGCTCGGGCATGAACCTGAGTTGGATACGAAAAACTCACGCAGTGGACTTTGCCTGGGCACTTCATGTCATGGCGCTCCTCTGCCTCTTCCCTGTGTTGTCCGCATACAAGGCTGACACGCACTACCTGCTCTTCTGCTCCTTGGCAAGTCGTGTGCGTCGTGTTTCGCCTGCCCCTGGCGTTCTACGCCGTCTTGCTTGGGGAGAACCTGCGCTTGAAGCTTGATGCTTGATACCTTCATCGAGGCTACGACTGCCTGAAGAACGCTCTCTTGGCGCAGAGCGGAATGGCAGTGCCGGTCCCGAAAAAGGCTGCCGACCCAAGAGATTCAATATGGCACTGAGTCGAAGAGTGGCGTCAACGTCGGCATGGCGGCGTCGGAGCCTCAGTAAGAACAGGTTGGGTGGCAGTGGCTCTTCCGGAGCCTGCTTGGAGGCTCGAGAGCGGCGAAGTCGAGGCGACCGAGGAAGGAGCCGCAGCCTCGTTGAAGCTTCGCTGCCGCTGCCGAGTGCTGCCATTTCTCGGCCAAAGGTGCAGAATCTTCAAGCTGTGTTGCAGAAGAGTTCTCGGCCTACCGCTGGCGAGACTCAGCCACTTTCGCCCATTTTTTGGTTCCGCTCCTTCAGGTGCTGCCTTGTGCGGCCAAGTGTACAAGGAGGTGCCTCTTGACGCTGGCGAACACGCGCGCCACCCGGCCCTCCGCTCTGGGCATGCCGCCCAAGAGAATCGCCTCAGCGGCCAAGGCATCCTCGCTGTCCGATCGATTTGGATCAAGGCAGCGTCCGTTGAATCCGACGCAGATGGGCGTTCTCAAGGCCTACTTGGCTTCGGAATGTGTCGCATAACAGCACGACGTTGCAGCTGCTGGCGTCAAGCTGATCAGGCACTCATCGACTGGCGTGATCAGCTCGCACGCAGCATCGACGAGCCCAGACCTCACGGTGTGCAGAGGCCAGAGTCGGCTAGAGTGCCTGGAGCAAGGAGCAACCTGACCCTCAGTCCCTGCGCCCGCTTGCAGATGTTTGCAGAGCACAAAGGTCCCTGAACTTCGTGGCGCCCGACGCCTGCCTTTGGCGAGTTTGCCTTGCCATGCCCACCTCGCTGGCCGCCCCAGTTGCGAGATTTCGGAGAGCGATGTGGAGCTTTGCAAGTTTGCTGAAGTTTGCACGGAGAGATCCGAGGCCGGTGAAGCTGCGCAGCACCCTCAAAGAGCCCTTTCACCTCGCGGCTCGAAAGGACAGAAAGATCTCTCCTGCTCGGCCTCAGGGAGCACCTGCAATCCTTTGCCGTCCACACTGCAGCAGCATGCGCAGGAGGCCACTGCCACACGTCCCGAAGCACGAAGCACGAAAAGTGCGCTCCGCAGCCTCAGCCTCGCAGGTCGTGGACATTATCATCAAGTCTCAGCATCCCGGGGTCGGCGTAAAGCTCCCGGCTTCGGCTTCTTGGCAAGAGCGAAGGCCTAGCCAGGCACTTTTCGGCACGACATCCCTTCAAGGACTCCAAGGAGCGCCCGGCCGAACCGGCGACCGCTTCGCCCCGGGAGTCCGTGCCGAGCCATGGCCTCATCCGCGCCAAAAAGGCTAGCGTGGTGAAGGTAGGCCCGGTAGGCTGCTGGGAAATCGCTGAGGCCCCGTGGAGTCCGAGGACCCTTCGGCCGGCGAGGCCTTGCCACCAGCAACTCAGAGCCTGGCCCCTTCCTGCCCCTAAAGCTGCGCCCTCGTGGCTGCAGGTGCCAAATCGACGCGTGGTGCTGGAAGCCTGGCCAGTCCGTTTGGTGCCGAGAGGGGCGAGATGTCGGATGTGGGGCGGTGGGGTGCCTTCCTTTGAGCCCCCTTTGAGGTCTGGAGCAGTCGCCACGTCCGCTGGTGCCCCTGTGCTGAGCCCACTCGTGTGCTCAGGTCATGTTTGAAACGTGTTCTCGTGCAGGTGCATGTGGCCGCGAGCTTCGGAAGCTGGCAAGGAATGCAATCGAAGCTTAGCGGGGAGCGAGAGATTCATGAATCATGGATGCCCACCTCCAAAGTTGCAGGCTCCAGCGAAACCAGCCGCAAGCGCAAGCACGAAACCCGGCTGGTCACTTCTGCGTCGCTGGATGCGTGCCTACTTTGCCCTTCTACTGGGGACCGCGCATAGAACAGCGAGCGTTCCCTGATCTCTCCTGATCTGAGAGGGGTTTTTGGACTCTGTGAATGAAGGCAGAAGCGGTGGGTTGAGCGGAAAGCGGGATGTCCGTAGCGATTGCCAAGCTGGCCTGGAAAGCCGAGATGGGCTCTGCAGAATCGAGTCGCACGATTCTCCGAACAAAAAGCCCCCCAAAGGCAGCAAGGCCACGAAACGAAGGTGCGGAGTGCGGACCGGGGACCGGGGACATGACATTGCGGTGTAGGACCTCTAGCCTCGCCTGCTCTAAGGTTCTCCGTGCTGTGTGGCGACTCCTCCGAAGCCGAGGAGGAGCCGCTTCAAAAGAGAAGCGAAAAGGCCTATGCGATATGGGTCTCTTGCTCTGACGCAGGAGCCTCTCCTCGGCGGTCGGGGGCTTTCGAAAGGGCTGTCGGCTCGATGCGACCCGCAGAGTGAGCTCCTTGCCAGGCGATGGCAGCGTGAAGTCTTCGTCTGAGATCGTCTGCGAATCATTGCAGATCCTGCTATCGGTAACTTGCTGCCGTAACGCTTCTGCAGTGTTTGGGCTTCAGGGATGCTGGCTGGTACCGTCTTTTCATGGCTGCAATCGTTGAGTATGCGAAGTCAGGGCGATCGCAGTGCTGCGTGTGCTGCCAGAAGATCACCCTGGATGCGATTCGCTTTCGTATGCCGCTGGAAGCAAAGTGGCGATGCCTGGAATGCTTCACGCCGGTCGAGCACCAGACCGAGACCGAGATAGAATGCCACGGCGCGGGCAAACTGAGCACAGAGGATCAGCTTCTCCTGGCCGAGCTTCTTCAGACTCGTCTTAAGGGCGCCAGGCTCGGGGCACTCTGGCTCCGGTCTGAGGAGCTGTGTGTGTGTGTGTGGTGTGCAGCCATTTTTGATTTGGGTGCGCAGCGTTTCGAGTTTGGTCTGCTTTTCTGGTGTGCGACTTGTGCGAATTGGAAATCTCTGAGGAGCACAGAGGTCTCAGACAGTGCGCACGTGAGTGGGCGCGCAGCGAGACGGAGTCAGACTCTGCCTCCTCGCGTGTCGAGAAGCCTCGGACAAAGAAGAGGAGGATGCCCGCAACTGCGCCCCGATCTGGCGAAGCAGGTGCGCAAGATGAAGCACTGTAGATCACTGCCTTTACCCGGCCATGACGTTAAACGTTGGAGCGGCGTCCGAAGACCAAAGTGTACAGCCAAGACGATATACGTCGCTAATGCTGATGCTCTGGGTGGCCAGACTGAATGGCAGGTCTTGATAACTGAAGCGATAGTGCTGTTCCCAGATGCTGTTTGTGCCACCCGAGCAAGCCTTAGCAAGCCTGTTTCGGCAGGGACGGGGATAGGGACCTGGGGAAGTCCTGCAAAGAGAAGATCTGGCAGGGTGGAGGTCCAGAAAATTGCGGCACCGCTTTTTGCCTGCAGACATGTCAGACATGTGGCCGGAGTTAGATGTGCCGGGCTCTTGCCATGATGCTTCGAGGAAACAAAAAGGGCGTGCGAGGGCCGGGGCCTTGGCAGGACAGCCGCGAAAAGCGAAGAGCGTCTGTAAGTCGTGATCTGTTTTTCGAGGTCATCAGACGGAAGATCAGCCCCTCGGCACAGAGGTCGTAGAAGTCTGGAGCCTGAGCTACCTGAACTCAGGTTTTGCATCTCCCGCTCCCCCTGCCGCTGTCATTGCGAAAGCTCCAGAACCTCCCGCCAGCGCGGCGGTAAGTGCGCCGGGCGGGGGGCCTATAACAAGAAAGGCTCAAGACTGCCATATTTGCCTTCCGTGCTTCAGCCTCGCGTCCTCACCCTTCGCAGCTCAGGTGCAACCGCCAGCTCCTAAGTTTTCGCAACTCCGACTTCAGGCGCGGCACGCCATGGCAGGCTTTTCTGGAATGCCTCCTGCAGGTTCCCGAGACCGGCTCGGAAGTGCCCCCGGAAGTCCCGGCGCCGCTCAGAAAGCGGAAGAAGAAGCGGCCGAGACCTCCGCTGCACGTCTCGGCCGAAACGCGTCCTTTGAAATGGCCCAGAAGTCCGAGGCGGCGTCCTGGCTTAGTGGAGGTGTCCGAGGCCGTCGAGGTGGGATGGACCGGCGGCTTGGTCGCGACGTTGCCGATGTGCCAATGCGCCGAGGCGGAGCCCGAGGTGAGCAGCGCGGCTCCAACGGCTCCGGCTCCCCCTCCACCTGCCGCACCTGCCGCATCCTCGGATGAAAGGAAAGGCGAACACTTGATATTCGACTTTGCTGCCGCATCTGCCGCGGGGTTTTACTTGCGAGGCCGAGGCAGTGGCAAAGCCCGCTGCCAAGCCGCCGGCGGGTGCCCCAGCGAGAAGGGGGCCCGGGGCGACACTTTTCAGTACTCGCTCCCTCGGCACTGCGCATGTGCCTCGGAGTTGTCCACAGCTCGGCTTAAAAGCCGGGTTCAATCCCCGGCCCGAAGTTGCACACCGGGAACTCTGCGAAAATGAGACCATCGCGTTTGCTGGACCTGGCATTTGAGAAAAGCATATCACAGAACTCTGGTTGCGTGATGCTTTCGGCCCGCAGGGCCACTAGACTACCTACTGCAGGCATTGCATCCCGTCATGCAAATTATCGATCATGAGATGGATTCCAGATCCCTCGGTTCGTCGCTTCCTCACAAGACCATGAGAGCAATCACGCTTGCAGTCACTGTTGCCATCCGACTTGAGTACCGTCTGCCACATTCGGCAATTGGCGAGACTCGCTATCCGCCCGCAATGCCAAGTGTGAACCCCCGTTCGTGCGAACAATATGTTTCTCTTTTCGATCGCGGAAGGGGTCTGGTAATCTAGTAAGTCGAGCGTCAGGGCATGCGCAAGTGGTGACAGATCTCCCAAGGCCGCAGCAGTGCCCCAGGAGCCGGTGGGGACGGTGAGGAGCTGAGGCAGAGACGATCATATGTAGCTCTGGGAAAACAGGCACCGGAACGGTCCGTGGCACAGTTCACCAAGTCACGTTCTGCTTCTTGCATCTTCCGGTAGGGCTTGTGCCACCGTTCAGCAATCCAAGGCCGATGCAGCGGTTCCCAAAGCACCGGCTTCGGTCGGGGACCTGGGTGGGTTCCGGTCGCCATTGTGTGCTGGGGGGGGCCTCGTAGAGGCTCTCGATCCGCGCCCCAAGAAGCGGAAGAAAGTGGTCAAGCGCACGCAGGCGGGTGCAGTGGAATTGCGAGATCTTGCGACTTCTGCAATCCCTGGTCGAATCCGAAGGAGATGGTGGTGGACCCCTACTTGTGAGAGGTGCGCGCCTCGATGAGCAAAGTGTTACTGTTTCTTCGGGTCTACGACATGCCAATTCTGCCCGCGCCTTGTGTCTTCTGCAGCCGGGGTCCTCCAAGGCCGCGGCGTGTCGGCCTACGAGGAAAAACCGCCGAGCCTGTTGAGCCGTTAGCATCTGATGCAGATCGCTCATGTTTCATTCAGCACGGCTGCCAATGAGAGCCATGCTCGCAGCAGTTTCAAGTGCTCAAAAACAGTCAGCCAGCCCAGAGCAGCAAGTTTGCCAGCATACATTCAGCAACTGTGCATATCAAGTCCCAAGAGGAGAGCAGGTGGGAGTCCGGAGATCAACGTCATTCTTCCTCGGGGCATTGTCAGTTGCCAGGCAATCATGGGTGGTGACGATCGAAGCCCGAGCCGCGGAAAGTGGCGGCCACAGATCTGCGAACAACGAACCCAATGGCTCCCAACGAGTCGCGCAGCCAAGAGCTCGCAAGGTAACTAGAGCCTGAACCCCACCAATTCGCACGAAATGTAGAAGCTCTAGAGTCTAGACCTCAAGACTGTTACATAGGTAGAGCGGAAGTGTTGACCGCGCAGGTCTGTCATGATCACTTCAACGTCTCTTGTTCTTCGTGATGCAGAGCACGCTCTCCTCATGGACACTCGAGAGCAGTCCCTGACGGCCCTCCGCCTCCGACGTCCCCATGGAATCCGTTTTCATCTCCGTCGCACCTTTCGGACTTCAAGCAGGACCGTGAGACCCCTGAGGAGGCCCTATAAGGCTTAAGGAGGCCCCATATTGGCCCCATTTTTTGCAGATCTGTGCAAGTGCGATGTCTGTAGGACCAGGCCCCAGCTGTAGCACTCTAGGAACATGTGAGCTAAAATGGAAGGCACCAGTGCACCTCTGAGCTCAACTTCTTCCCCTTACCACATGGACTGCTCTTCAACGACTGACATCGACTGACCTGCCTTCTCAGGCGCAATGCTGCAAAGTCGTGATAAAGGGGAGGGACATGGACATGAGCATGTGAGAGTCAGCAGCTTGAGAGAAGCATGTTGGGAATAGTTGGGGATAAAGGGACTGACAAGACGGCATGGCTGCTGAAGCTTGTTGCGCTGAGCACGGCATGCATTCTTGAATGCAACACTGTCTCAGAGCATTTTGGGGTGCAGTGCTTTGTTGACGAGACCGTGCAAGAGTGCGCGCGCGTTCGCGGGCACGCCGTGCGCACTGTCAAAAGCGTAGAATGCTTCGTGCACAAGTGGCTAACATCGGGCGGCCGAACACACGCTCTAGAGAGAGTGGGTGTTTAGCGCTTGTCGCTGTGTGCCTGTATACGCAGGCTTTTCGCATCATCACGGTTTGCTTTCCGGAACCTCTGCGTCCAGACACGAGCTCTAAGAGAAGCCTCCTAGGTGGTCGCCACCTTGGAGTTAGGCGCGGCTAGGCTTCCCACTTTCCATGTGTTTCCCCCTGCTCCCCGTAGAGTCGAAGTGGCAGCGAGACCCGCATGGGGAAGAGTCCATTCGCTGCCTTCTGAGGGACCGAAGCCGCAGCCGCGATGAGAAGCGGAAGGCGCGAGATCACGGCAAACGGCGAGCCACTACACCACGAGCCTCGTGACCTGCTGGAGGACAGTCGAAGTCCGAGCAGGAGCCGCAGCCGCAACAAGAAGCCAGAGGAACCGGGAGAAGATAACGGGTTTGTGTCCATCGCAGCGTCGTAGGCGTGTCCTGGAAGGACCACGGGGTCGACACCATGAAGATCACGGACGACGATGCCGCTTTCATCCTCGGACCGAGCCTCGGATTCGGGGAGAGCCGTCCGAAGTCGCCATGCCCGGCCCGAGGCAAGGGAGGGAGGACCAAAGAGAAGATCTCCAAGGTCTCCGGCCGTGGTCCAAGAACTTGAAGATGCCACCAATCCACCACTTTTCGAAGCACGGGCTGCAGCTTTTTCACTAATTCTTAGGTGCAGAGATCGAGCTCTTCGAGCGCGACTTGATCTTGGAGATCCGCGGCTCGAAGCTCCGTGGATGCATTGATGGTTTGTCCGATGTTGCGCCTCCACGGGCCCCCAGTCGCTAGTCGTAAACTTGCTGTGACCGAGGCTGTGCAGACGTCGGGCCAAGAAGTATTGCAAGGGCGTCATGGACCAGCGGACTGGCCCCGTCAACGTTACTCAGGCTCACTGCAAGTCTAAGTAGCAAGTCAGCAACGCCATGCTTTGCTGGGTCACAGGACCACGACGATGATGACGACCTAACCATGATCAACGTCCCACAGGAGGCCGTTGGTTTTGTCACTGGAAGGCGGGGCCGCAAGGGCCGCAAGCAACCTGGTCCCTCACATAGACCTATGTTGACGCATGTGAGGGCAGGGAACTTCCTGCGGACCATCGAGGAGGAGTGGCCGTAACCCCAGAACGGGGATTATGGCAGGAAGGTTGCTGCACGGGTCATCCCGAGCTACACAATGCTGCCTGTCGGAAGTGTCTTAAGCGCACGAAGACGAAGCAATATGCCGCAACCATGCGCTGAAGCCAGTGCACGCAATGCTGAGGAACACATTGATGTTCTTCTGTGAAGTGGATGGTTCTCGGGGCCGTGGAAAGGACTCTAGTGCTGTCGGCGAGCAGCATAGCGGTGTGGAAGGATGATGTCGTCCGCGGAATGTTGAGCCGATTGCAAGTGACCCGGAGGATTACGAAAAGCTGGCGATCTTTGGCACGGCCGGGACTCCGACTCGAAAATCTCGAGCCTCGAGCCTCGAGCTGTGGGGCTGTGCCGCTGCGCTGCTGTGATGCTTGCAGGTGCGGGCGCGCCGTGGTGCCGAGCTCAAGGTCCTGAGTGCCGTGGAGACCAAGGCCGCAGAGCCGAGATCGGGTTTGCTTCTGAGCCTTTAAGCGGCGCAGGTTCCAGGCTACTTCGACAAGATCCGCAACGAGGCTGGAGAGCATGGTCCCTGGTAGTCGAAAAGCAATTCAGCCATTCCCAGCACTCGTGGCAGGTTGTCGACCGTGACAAGGGCAAGGGAGAGGATGGGGCTGATCAGTGGCCGGTACCGCTAGTGTACCACAGCATTCATCTGTATCTGCAGGATGGTACATGGGGCACCGACACAATGACGTTCCAAGACGACGAGCTGTCCTACGCGCTTGGGAAGCAGGGCGGGACAAGGCAGCAATCCGACAGACTGAAAGAGGCATGGTATCGCCCATCATCCTGGACTAAACTCCGGCAGGAAGAAGCTGGAAAAGGCTTCCGGAGCAGTCGTGCAGTACGTCGGCCAGGCATCGGGGCAGCATTGACACTAGACAGGCTGGCAAGGCCACACATGTGCACATCCCGACAGCGGTAGATGTCAGAGTTGGAAGTCCTGGCCCCGGTCACGGTGTTCGGGGGAGGTTGAAGCCTTGCGAAGTTGACGCGCGCACATGTGCTGGACGACGGAGTGGCACGAAAATGTGCGTTGAAGGCTGCGAAGTCCCAGCCGGGGAGGAGCTTCTCAGCAGCAGAGTGCAGTCCGATGTGCCTGGCCTGTCCACCTGGAGCCTGCTGTCTCCATGTGTGCTTTTGCCAGAAATTTATCAATGAAGCGATCGTATGCACGCATTGGTGCGTGGACGCTCACTCACACGTGCTCAAAAGGCACGTGCGCACGCATGCATGCGCATACCGTCGACAAACATACAGTTTCAGGAATACATGTAGGGTCATGCATGCATGCATGTCTCTGCATGTGTTCGTGTGTTTATATCCGCGACGGGAGGGAAGCATTATGCTTGTCTGGGAGATGGTAACAAGACCTCCCGAACTGCTGCAATTGCGTCGATGGCTTGTTGGACATGCCGGAAGGTGGCTCTCTTTTCCGGGGAGAAGCACTTGCGCAAGAAAGCCAAGGATGGGTGCTCTCGGATGCGCTAACAGAGGACAGGACAAGCCCCGTCCCTGTGCTAGGAGTACATGAAGTGGCTCTTCGACCAGCTGGAGGGTCCAGCGGTCTTCTTGGAAAGACGGAAGAACTCGCATTCAGTACTGAGAGTGCTCTGGAGTGTGGGTCCTGAGGTGTATGTAAACGGCTGGGAAGACAGGGACGATTGCACCGTGGTAGACGTGGGGCTCCTGGCATCGTTGCTCGCCTTTTGGCCTTTTGCCGAGCAATCCACTGTTTGCAGTGCGTCCAAATCAATGAATTGTGCTGCTGCGAGGTAGGTGCTCGCTAAAAGCTGCTTGCAGAGCGCATGCAGGTGCCAAGCGAGTGCATCGGCTATGTCACGGGTGCTCGTCGTGCGGCACTGGGCAACATGGAAGAGGACCAACACATAGCCACAGCATGGTGGTGAAGCGTGCTGGCGCCTGCCCTTGCACACACTGTGAGGGCCAAAAAAGTGTGGTGCAGTTTAGGGTTTATAGGGTTTAGGGTTTAGGGTTTAGGGGTTTAGGGTTTAGGGTTTAGGGTTTATGGGTTTAGGGTTTAGGGGTTTAGGGTTTAGTTCCAGGAGTGGGGCACCCTGATGTTCTTCATGAACAAGGAGGCTCAGAACGGCGGCGGCAAGGCGGGGTGCTCTTCAAAAACCTCGCCTTCCTTAAAGGCTGGTGAGGAAGTCATGATGATGATTATTATTATTACTATAATATTATTACTATTAGTACTATTGTTGTATTATCATTATTCTTATCAATTCTTATTATTATCATTATTATTGTTGTTGTTTTAATCTTTTTCCTCCTCATTCAGTCCTCCCTTAGGGCGCCCGGGGCGGCCGCGGGACCTCGGAGCAGTTGGCGATCTTCGGCGCGCGCCGGTCGCGCCGCGGAGCCGAGCTGAAGGCCCCTAGAGGGCCCCCCTCTCTTTTTTGTTTTTAGGGTTTAGGGTTTAGGGTTTAGGGTTTAGCCTCTTTGTTTGGAGTTCTCTGGGAGTTCTGGGGTGATGAGCCCTTGAAGAGATATTCAGGGCCCCCCCTCTTTGTTTGGAGTTCTCTGGGAGTTCTGGGAGGGACGGAGGCCCTTAAAGAGATAGATGTTCCGGAAAAAAAAAGCTGCGACTCGCTGTCTTCAGATCATGAGCGCCGTGGAGACCAAGAGTCCCGGCGTCTTCACCCGGGGCGTCCGCGAGAAGTTCAGCTCTGCTGAGACCTGAGCTCCGGGTTCTGCACCTGAAGCACAGCCATCCAGATCTCCTTTTTGACAGAATCCATCTTGTCTCCCAGTCGTGCAGCTGCCAGGAGCGGGACTTTGCGACAGATCGCTTTGTCCTGAAGGCTGTTTGATGGTGCTGGCATGCAACCCTGTCGTGGTGACTCACACAGCACCCTGAGCATGCATCTCGGTTAGCATTACCATCAGCAGGACGACGAGCTCAGCTATGCATTGGGAAAGGAGGCAGGAGTGGTGTGTGTCTGTGTGTCTGTCTGTCTGTCTGTCTGGCTGTCTGTGTCGGGGCAAGGAGCTGAAACCTGTGGAGAGGTGAGAGCCGGACCCTTTTGTGCATCTCTTCATGCCGAAATCGTGTTGTCGAGCGCAGAGAACATGCTGTGCCTGGGCCCGGGCCTCTTCCTCGCCACCGACCCCACCCCACGTGCCGCGGACGTCGTGTGCTGTCCTCCCCGTCGTACACCAAGCATGATGCCAGCGATGATGAAACACGCACAGCATTTTTGCGCCCCGAAGATAGCAGGACGACCAAGATGACGACCAGGACCACCAGACAGGAGGACCACGACGACGACCGGGATGCAGGGAACAGCCAGGCGTTTCGGCCGCATGCTCCTCGCGGGAACACCAATCGAGACCTCTTGGCCTGAACGCAAGAAACCCCGCTTGTGTCCCTCACTTCGTAGGAGTCGTTGTCGTCGGGTGTGGCAGCGGTGCTCGTGTAGGGTAGGGTTTTGGGTCCGGGGAAGTAGGTTTCTTGGTCGGGGGTTTTGGGTCCATATCTTGGATTTGGTTTACAGGTTTGGGATTGGGGCTTACGTCCGGGGATAGTGGCAACTGCAAGCGCAGGTGCTAGCACAGCCAGCCGGGGCAGGGACAAGCAAAAACTGAGGGGCGATGGTTGTCGGCAGGGGAAATGTGGAGTCCAAAATCCGGTTCAATCTTTTTTTGGAAACCCTTTCATCAATGATGTCTCTTCATAAATACCAATTTCTACCGATGCACTCAACTTGGATATGAAGCCTTCGACTCGATGGCTGGAGCCTAGCCGTCAAGCCGAACCGACTGGAAACCCTCAACTTCCCCCCCAAACGCGCCCGACTTCAAACTCGCATTTATGTTTCATCAACAACTCGTTTGTGCCATTCTCCGTCTGTTTTAACCATCCCTGAACTTCGATCATTCGAGATTCTCAAATCCAGTTACAAGTTGGTGGGTTGATTCAACTCATCCTGTGCTCCGCACGCCCGACAGAAAGAGCCGACATCGAATCCGAATGCAAACTCAGTGTAACTCACTCGAACTGAAATCTCCCCAATATCTCCCCGCCTCCGCTCGCCGGCACCCGACACGTCGAAGTGAACACAGTTGCCTACTTGTACCTGTCGGAATTCAACTTCCCGAGCGCATGTCCGAGCCTCACTAAAAAAAGCCAACTTTTCACAGTTGGACGCTCTGCTTGGCTTTGGTCCTTTCGCAGCGGAAGTTGTGCGCTGCAAGAGACAGGGCGCCACACGTAAGAAGCTGGAGCTGGCTTCTGGCTCCATCCTTCAGTGGCCTGCCTGCAACAGCCGGTGTGGCAACTGCGGCATGTTCCCTATGATGATGACGGTGGTGATGAGGATGATGATGAGGATGATGGTGAGGGTGATGAGGGTGATGAGGGTGACGATGGCGGCATGGGCAATATCGCATTGTGCTGCACGAGGTATGTTGGCCATGTTGCCTTCATCGCCGGCGATTTGAAGGAAATCGGACATCAGCTGTAGTGGGGACCCAAAACTTTCACTGCTACCGGCAGGAGAGAAAGCGGTGCAAGCAGTTTATTGTTCGGGTCTTACTTCGTCTGGGCTGCCCAGAAGTACGTGGCAGAAGGCACAGAAGGGCCGGAAGCTAAGGACTGGCTGTTGGCTCAGCGCCGCGGGTCCGTGACCGTTTCTGATGTTGCTGACAGAGAGGCCTCTGCCACTCCAAGTGCTTGCGAGAATGCGAGCCTAGAAATTCAACAAGCTCGCAGGACTGCACGGAGATGCACATTCCGGAGAACTGCAAAGGCAGGTGGCCAGGTGGCCGTGCTTGTGGAGCGCGTCAGAGACTTGGGCTTCGCGAGGCTGGGTAACCGGAAACCGCGGCAGCGAGCTGCGGCGGGTGGAGCAGGCAAGCGGCGGACACCGGGCAGCCACGAAAGCGTTAAGGCTGCATGGATGCACAGGCGACAGGCACCTTCATGTTCATGGCCTTGGACCGGCACGGGGAGGCCACTTAACCCACTTAGAGGCATCTGAGAAGAGCAGCAACTAGCAAGCTGAAGGAGCGGCTGTTGATCTTCAGCGCCAATGGTGGTTCGAAGACAGCTGATGGCGGCCGCATGCATGCCGAAAGTCTCGTCCTCGGTCCGGCCAAGTCTCAAGCTTGTTTTGACTGACTCTGTTGAACCTGCAAGGGCTTATCAACGAGATGGTGCAGGTCCGTCGCTGGGGCGGTCATCGGGTTGATGCGCACTCTTGTGGTTGAGACTGGCTTCTCTCAGGAGAAGCTACGTGGTGACTCGCGCGGTCGCAGCCGCTCAGATTCGCGACGGAGGGGCGGCGGTGGCCGCCGAGACTCTCGACGCAGGTCAACTTACCGCAACTTGTGTCAGCTCTGATCTCCGCGTAGTTGTACTGTCCGAAAGGTCCAACAGCCGACGTCGCTCACCCAGCCGCCGACGCGACTCGCGTTCTCGGACAGCGTCTCAGCCCGGATGAAGTGGGAAGTAGCGGCGAAACTGGCAACAACGGTATTCGCGGCAAGGTCTCGACGATGAATGGACAGTCTCGGATGAGAGGCCACAAGGGCCTCCTGAAAGAGGCAAGCATTTTGCCCAGCAGCTTCATATCATAGCTGTCATAGCTTTACCCTCAGCACTCCCAAGCTGATCCAGAGGGGCAAGAGCTTCCGGTGCTCGCGCGTGTTCACGTTCCGCCACCTCCATTTCCGGAGAGGCTTGAATCAGGGCGGGCAACAGTTCCGAAGGTCTCCTGCTCCCTGGGTCGATCACAGTCTTGACATTATGGTAAACAGACGGACTTCTAGGAAAGTTGTGGCCGGAGGGCTCTAGACTCTAGCTGCAGGAAGCTGATAGTTATAGCAAGCTTTCAGATCCTCTGGAGCAAGCATGCAGCAACCTGATACAGTACATGCCAGACTGTTGTGCAGAGTTGAGGCACCTTGCAGACTCAGAGAGGCTTTTTGCATTCTACGACGCTTGCAGATGCTGGTCAGACCCAAGCTACTGCACGCTTGTGGAGTAGTGTTTGCGTGGTTGGGAGATGTAGATGGTCAACCCATTATCCAATTATGTGCCGTATGGTTCGATGGATGTAGATACTGCACTCAAAGCGGAGTGCAGCAGCCAGCTCGTCGTTATAGAAAGGGGAATCTTGAGTTTCCCGAAATCATTCTCAAATCCGCGCGGCGTGAGCGAGGAACACAGGGAACCCAGAGGCCGAGTGCTGGAGAGCCGTTTGGAGCACCCGAGCACCAGACCCGAAAAGCCTGCTGAGACTTTCTGACGAACCTTGGCTCCGAGTCTTAGGCAGCAACGGCGCGCCCAAAAGCAAGCATGGCAAGTCTGAAAGCGTAAGTAACGCAAAAGGCCTTTAACTCAGCTCATGGAGGTGCCCTTCGGAAGTCGAAAGCAGGATTCAAATGCAACATGCGGTCCAAATTTCACGCAGTTTCTTCTGCAATCGGGTTCTCCAAGCCGCTCAGAGCTGTCCTGGTCCGACAGGCCGGGTCTCCATGTTTTCCACTGCGAGTGTGCTGCTTGGAGAATCAGGATGGAGGAGCCCTTCCAAGCCATGGCAGTGCAGGACCTAATGCTGAGGGAAGCAGGGGCTTGGGCTGGCAAGCACATGCTTCCTGCATCTTCGAGGTTTTGGGTCCGAGGCTTCCACAAACATCACAAACCGATTTTGACTCAAGGGTTGCATCGAAGCATCGAATTGCAGGAGCTGCTGGGCGGTGCTTTTCTTCGCCTGGATGATGGTGATCCTGAGGGCGCTCTGCATAGCCCTCAGAAGGATACTTTAGGAGGCTAAAGCCCGACGTTGAGAGTGCAAGAAGAGCGAGGTCCTGCGCACTGCAGGCGCTTTGCTTGAGCGTCCGAGCCCGAGCTCGTGAGTTGGAGGTTACAGAAGGGCCTAAAGTTCTAAAGTCCTCCTTAGGGGTGTTAGTTAGGAGGGGTTCTTTTGGAGGCGGGGCCCACGGCGATGGCGGCCGCTGCCTGGAGAGCCTCGCAGCGGGAGTCCGCCTTGCAGGCACCACCACGGCACCGCACCCCGACGCCGACATACGCCGACCTTCGACGATCCGCCGGTTCCGCGGCCCTTCTTTCCGCAGGTCTGCAGGGAGATTCTGCAGCGAGGAGGGATCCTGGTGGACAGGCCCGGCATGGCCCAGAGCCGGCCATGACAGCACAGAAGAATCAGAGCACCGCTCTTGAGAGGGGCCACGGCCAAATCCTCAAGAAGACCTTGGAGGCCCCAAGCGTGAGACGTTTCTTTCTTTGGAGCTGCCGGCTTTTTCGGATCTGCAGCTTCAAGGATGGCTCGTCTGTTGTTTGCACCAAGTGCGGGGCGCTTGTCGCCAGCTCGAGGGCAGAGGCGCCCTAACCTGGATCCTGTTGGCGGCGGGACTCCGCTGATTTGCGAGAGGCTCATCGGTCTTTTTGGTGTCCAAGCCTCCAAAACGACAAGGACGAGGCCGGCCCTCTGAGCACTTCGACAAGCCGAGCCTTTCGCCGAAGCCGTGCATGCCCAGGCTGGGGCGACTCGGGATCTGCGAGACGACGGCTCCCCGGCTCCGTTAAAAGCGCTATGTGACGCGATGGCCCTTGGCTTCTCGGTGCTGCGCTCCGAAGGTGCAGACCCGGAGTCCATGCAGCTGGACTAGGTCCTGAGCACCGGCATAAGAACCTACTGGTACCTGCAGAATCCTGCAGACTCCAGAATTCATCGGAACTTGCACGGCACGCTAATGGATGTAGCCAGGGCCGGTTGAAGAGACCTGCACAAGGACATGGAGTGTAACACGCTTCACCATCCGCCTGTTCCCACGTTCTCGACAGGCGCAGCGCAGAGGAGCAGCATTCAGCTGCAGCAAAGTGTTGACCCTGCATGCAAAAAGTCTGTTGTCCCGTTCGGCCCTAGTAGTCGCACAACTTGTTGTGCATCTCATTCTCATTCTTTCTTTCTCTCTCTCTCTCTCTCGCTCTCTCACACACACATGTGCTCACTCTGCCAGCGCTGTCCAAGCCTTCGTCTATCCCGGCCTTAAGCCGAGATGTTGGCGATTGGAGTTCTCGTCAGTAAAGTGAATGGAATGGCGGCAGCTCATTGCCTGACATTCCCTGCCTGGCAGCTTCTGTCGTTTCTGAGAAGCCCCTTTGTAATGTTCCAAGTGGGCGCAAACCACGCTCATTACAGTCACGTTAACCAACCTGCTGCCAGCCTGAGCTTTGCTCCAGGAATGGCGGTGGCCTCGCATCACTGCTGACCGCACCGGGCCTGTGTCCTTCCAGTCCATCCAACCGGCCGCGGTCCCACTTGGAGCCATGACACTCAGAAACCACGGAGACCCAGAATCTTGTGACCTTTGCACTTTCGAGGGCAGCCGTCTAATTCATTTTCAAGCAGGGAACTCCGTGCAAGAGGTCAGAAACTTCATCCGCTGCGGTCACCGCCCACGTAGATCGTTCTCGGCAGCAGACCTGTTGTTTCGCTGCACGGGCCGGAGGTGTTGATGCTGCTCTTTTTTTAGTTGTGTTGCTCGCGGCCTTTCGTGAGTCGAGCATGGTGACAGCAAGAGTTTTTTAAGTTACATGCTAAAAACCCCTGAACCGTACATACATACTGCCGGGAACCTTTGCTTAAGAAATCTCTGGTTTAAGAAATTGAGCCCCTCGAACAGCCGTGCGACGAAAGTTTGCTTAGAAAAAGATGCACAACATGAAAATAAGAAATCCAGGGTACTCTGACCTCGGCGTGTCAAATTCTTATTTTGCTCTTCTCATTTTGTCTTTGCCATTTTTGGTTGCGCAAAAAGGAGAACCAAGAAACTAAGGGACCCCTCTCTGACTATGATGACCAGGGTCTGTCGCGTCCGGCTGCAAGGCAACCTGAAGCCGATGTGATGTTCAATATCCATTTTCGCATAGAGATATAGTTTGGCTCTAACTTTGTCTGGTGGTTGGGCGGTTTCAGCTCGCTCAGCAGAATGTGGTAGCGTACAGATAGTTACAACAACCCACAAATCCTGGACACTTGCAGTCGGGAAGTTGGGTATCTGGTGTTTCCTTGTTTTTTTGGATGCACAAGGAGAGTACTGCGGTGCACTGTGGTGCAGTTTGGTTTTGCAGTGCCGAAAACCTTACTAGATCATGACGTCCGTGGGTCCGAATGTTACGGCAGCTCGGTTCACCGCAAGTGTTGTTTAAGCACCTGAAACGAGACTTGTAAGAATGAAGAGCTCATTCAAGCAGGCCGTGAGGTCTGCATGTTGGAGTCCATGAATTGGGGGGCCTACCAGCATGCACCTTTTGATATGGGTCACGGTCAAAGAGAAGACTGTCAAGACTCTTTGAGTGCGCATGAATGCCGTATCCTCCGCGATTTGGTTCGAGGCGGGTGAGAGGCAGAGGGGAGGTGAGGAGTCGCATTGAAGATTGCCGCGATGCCTCAGCTATCCGTCGACGAGCTGCAAGCGGCATTACAGGAGCTTGCAGCGATGCTCATGTTGTCGCGGCACGAGGCTGGGGCTCTATATGCGGTATACCATGGTAAATTATATGGTTGTATGTGTGTTGCGTGCATGGGCTTTGATCCTCTTGGAGGCAGGACGGGTGCGAGGTGTGTGCTATGCAGCAGGTCTCACGTATAAGGTACGTACCTGTGTCCGCATGTTCGCGTTGCCACGAGGCTGTCCGACAGGAGCTTCAGAAGCTGCAAGCCCGATTCGAGTCAGATCTTGCTGTGGCCAAGGGGTTGCAAGCTCCAGCGTCGCCAGCACCGCCAGCTGTCGCTGCCCCTGCGGCTTCTGCAGAAGCGGAGGCCACCGAGACAAAAGTGGAAGCCTCCGCCTCCATCGCCTCCATGCCATGGACGGAGATCACCATGTTTTCCTTAGACCTGGGTGATGGCGACAAGCCTTTCGTGACGGTGGATGTGAGACTCCGCGGAGTTGAAGCGTTGCCGTCGACGGACATCACTTGCGATTTCACGGACTCATCCTTCGATCTGAAGGTTGTTGGCCTCGAGGGCAAGAACTACCGTTTCCGGAAGACGAACCTGGAAAATCGCATCATACCCGCCGGCTCGGTTTTCAAGGTGAAGAAGAATCATGTGATGGTTTGGCTGCAAAAGGCGAAGAACCAGTTCGACAGATACGACATTTGGCTGGACTTGTGTGGCAAGGGACGGCATAAGTCCGCAGAGGACGAGGCGGCTGAGCCCAAGACCGGGCCCAACGATGGCATCCTAGACATGATGAAGGAACTCTACGAAACCGGTGACGACACGACCCGAAAGATCATAGAGCACGGGATGTACCTGGTTTCTGTTGCTCATTAGTTGTTGGGTAACTTTTCTGAAGCCGGGTTACCTCCTCAGATTTCCCCCTTTGCTGCGCCAAGGCACCAGGCGAGCCAGGACGGAAAGGGTCAGCCGGAGCAGGGAGAAGCAGGGACAGCGACCACGTCGGCCGATTCAGAGCAGGCTGAGGAGGTGAAGACGGAGCGGGAGGAGAAGACTCAGACAGGTGAGACGAGCGCCTGCGCGCCGAAGGCTCTCAGCGAGGAGGAGATCAAGGAGATGAGGGCCCGGGCAGGCGCCTTCGGGGGCACCAAAACCGAGGAGCAACACCATGACGGTCATGACCACGACCACAAGCATGAGCCCCAGGAGAATCCCAACCTCACCGGCATGAGCCAGGGCGAAGTGATGGAAGACAAGGACAAGCTCCCGGTCACTCTCCTGAGCGGCTTTCTGGGTGCAGGAAAGACGACATTGCTCACACACGTTCTGAACAATCGTGAGGGCATGCGTGTGGCTGTCCTTGTCAACGACATGGCATCCGTGAACATCGACGCGGATCTCGTGAAGGATGGAGTCGAGCTGCAGGAGAACAAGGACCCTTCTTGCATCCCACCATGCAGCAACGCAGTTCTGCTTGCGAGGGTTGGAGTAGTGCAAGCAGGGCAGCTTTCCTATGCTTGAGGCTTGTGCACGCCAATAAGCTTAGATATTGAAAGACGAAGTGCCCAGGACAAAATGGTTGAGCTCCACAACGGCTGCATTTGCTGCACGCTCCGTGAAGACTTGATTGAAAGCGTGAAATCGTTGGCTCTCGAGAAAAAGTACGAACATTTGCTCATAGAGAGTACAGGAATATCGGAGCCGATGCCAGTGGCCACTACGTTTGCAGCCGCCGATGAGCAAGGTCGTCCCTTACTGGGAGGTGTCGCGCGTTTAGACACACTCGTCACCGTTGTTGACTGCAGAAACTTTTTGAAGGATTATTGTTCCAGCGACAAGTTGGTCACTAGGGAGGAGTTGGGGGCTGAGGAAGGTGACGAGCGCAGCATTGTCAACTTGCTGGTGGACCAAGCGGAGTTCGCCAATGTGATAATCCTAAACAAGACAGATCTTGTCACCCCCGAAGAACTAGGCCGTTTGAGAGGCATCATGACGAAGCTGAACCCAAAGGCTCGCATGATCGAGAGCCAGCACGGGAAGGTGAGCCCGGCGCTGCTCCTGAATACGAACAGCTTCAACATGAGGGAAGCCAGCATGGCACCTGGGTGGGCACAGGAGCTGATGGGAAATCACCACAAGCCGGAGACCGAAGAGCACCTAGGATGCGAATGAGGATTTTGTTATTTTGTAAGTGACGCCCCCCAGCTCAAGCGAACTGAGGTACGGCATCTCCAGCTTCATCTATCGAGCTGACCGGCCCTTCCACCCCGAGCGTCTGACGAGCATGTTGGGTACTTACTCCTTCCCTGGGGTGCTCCGCTCCAAAGGCTTCGCGTGGTCGGCGGGCAACCCGGACAACGCTGTGGAGTGGAGCTCCGCCGGTCTCACGGCGGATCTCAAGCCAGGTCCCAGGCGCGGCTCCGAGGAAACCACAACCACATAGACATGTTGCATCATTTTTCCCACTCTTTGGCTTCGTTGGTGCCCTTATGTGCAGGTGGCTGGTGGTCACGATGCCGCCGGAGAAGTGGCCAGCCCAGGCCCAGAAGTACAAGGAGAACCGTTTCGGCGATCGGCGCACTGAGATCGTTTTCATCGGAGCCGACATGGTCGAGTCCGAGGTTCGGGAAGCGCTCGATGGTTGCCTGCTGTCGCAGAAGGAGTTCCAGGCACATTTCGGCGGCAAAACAGGGGCACGCCAGAGGTCGTGAGCGGTGAGGCAGCGTCCGTGTGCACGAAGCGGGCAAATGAGGTGGTGTCTTTCGTTGATTATCCTGTCAGTCCATGAGGAATCATGAGACACAAGCTCTTATTCTTTTAATTAACAGTTTTGTACAGAACGGGCAATGTCGGAATGCCGCGACCCGCCCCGAACTCATGGAGTTTAATCAAACATTTGTTCTATGTGATGGGGATACGTTGAGTTAGTACGTGCGATGTTGCGTTTCAGTCAAGTACGTCTATGAGAGGGGGGACTGAAGAAGACCTAAGCCATAAGGACTTGGCAGAATAACATCATTCGAGCTCTCCGAGATGCCGTAGCGCACATTAGAAACTACTACCACTTGCTACTCTAACGGATCTCAGAAAGGCGAGATCAGCAAGGAGGGAAAACTAGACACGGCAATGAATGAATAAGTAGAGATTTACGAGATATCTATAGGAGAACTATTCATCGGAAAGGGGGAGTAGCTGGGCAAT